TAGCTGGGTATGGTGGTACACGCCTTTAATCCCAGCACTGGCAGGGACAGGCAGTTGGATCTTTGAGTTCAAGGCCAGCCCAGTCTACAAACCAAATTCTAGTCCATCGAAGGCTACACAATGAGACCTTTTTTGGGGGGGGGGGGGAGAAATCAAGCATTGTGGTACATTCCTGGAACCCCAGCACATGGCAGGAAGATGACAAGTCTGAGGATAGCCTGGTCTATACAGCAAGTTCTAGGCTAGCCTAGGCTGAATAGCAAGACTGTTCCAATAATACAACAATAGTACTAATAAGGGAGTATCAACAATGCATCACACTGTTCTAGAAGCTAAGATAAGATAGTTGGCAAAACCAGACAAAATAGCATTACCACTGAAAATATGCTCATAATTGGCAAGAAAAAGATGCCTGTGTTCTAAAATACAAAACAAACCCCATTTAACGAAAGTGGCGAGCCTTCTATTAACCTTTATTTATTGGTGGTTTGTTTTGTTTTGTTTTATGGTCTTGCTACGTAACCCTGCCTGCCTATGTAGACTGTCTTGAACTTTTGGTGATCCTCCTGTCTCTCCCCAGAATGCTTGGGATCATAAGCAGCACCACACTCAGCTATAGATTATACCTTTAACCACTAGTTTAGTTACTTGTTTCCCAGAGTAATTTCCTAAGCTCTAACTTGTCTCCTCCTCCCAAAGAGTTGCCAAGTAGGTCCTCTTACAAAGCTTATCATGTGTAAATGTGTGTAAACCTACCAATTTTCCCACTTCCCCCTAAGTGTAAAAACACCTTCCCCCAGGGGCTGCCCGTTTTCTTCTTTAATTTATAGTACTGGGGCTGATGACAAATGGTACCTCAACTTTGTATTTTAGTCTCAAAGCTACATTCTAGCACAACCACCCATCTGTCTGCGAGTCCAGATGGTGGCTCTAGAGATAAGAGTTATGTCCTTAAGGTAAAAAGACCTGTAATTCTCCATCTACCATTGGAGACTAGGGTTGGTAACCTCTAAAAGAGCAGAGGCCAACTGCAGCTCTGGATGCTCCTTGGGAAAATCTATGTCTTTTGTATGACTCGGGTCCTTTTCAGAACCTAAGAACACAAGGGCCTTGGAAGCTGTTCAGCTAAAAGTCACCAAGATGACATAGAGAATAGAGACTACCTTAATACCAGACTTCAGGAATTTTGTTTTTTTAAAAATAAAATAAGCCAGGCATATGGTCCACTCCTATAACCCCAGAATTTGGGAGGTGGAGGTAGGAGGACTAGTTCAAAACCTGACTTGACTACATAGCTGAGTTTCAGGCTAGTATGGCCTACATGAGACCCTGGTGTCAAAAACAAAACAACAAAGAAAAGACTGGGTACAGAATGAGAGGCTATTTTAAAGTATTTGTTGTTTTGTTTTTTGGGACAAGGTCTCACTATGTAGCCCTGCTGGCCTGGAACTCTCTATGGAGGCCAGGTTGGCCTCTAACTCAAGAGGTGTTCCTTAGGGGCCAAGTGCTGGGATTCACAAATAGTCCTTTTATCAAGCAGTTCAGTGAAAACACTTAAAAACCTAACCTTTCCAAAGTAGTTAGACGATTTGCATATAAGAATTTCCTAGGTTTGTCGTTCTTTCGGTTTTGTTTTGGTTTTTGCCTTGGAAGCTCTAGTTTCTAAACGGAACGGCCCGAGGTGGCCAGGTTTTATCTGGTACTTTCCTGAAAGATGAAGTTGAGACCATTAAATCCCAAGACTCAGAGAATTCCCTCAGTCGCTGCTTGTGTATTTGAAGAGTGATCAACTCTAACCTGCAAGTTATGAAAGCCGAAATACAGGAAGCCACAAAATATACATACTCAGATTCGAACTTCAGGACCTTAAGTAGAGAAAAACTCCTTTCTCGCCACCTCCCGTTCAAAACAAGAAAAGCTAGGTAACGTCTACGGCATTTACAGCAGGCCTAACGTGGTGAAAAAGCCTCTGGAGAACGGGGGGCCCTGCCCACTCCCTAACAGCCCCCCACTGCCCTAGGCGCAGAAGATGCCAATCTCGGGGAAGGCCTCCCGGGCCCACCACCGTTGGCCTGTACTTCCCGGAGGGGCCTGGCCTCCGGTGGCTCTCCCGGCTCCGGAGGCCTTCACGTGGCCCCAAGTCCACGCCCACTGGGCCCTGTGGAGGCCTCGGGCTCCTCCGGCCCGTTCCCGTCGCCGGCCCTGGGTCTTCCCCGTGTGTTCCGCGGGCTCGCCGTGAGCACCCCGGCGTCACGGGCCTTGGCGACCATAGTGCGAGCCCAGCCCGAAGGCCTGGTTAAGACGGGACCGCCGTGCGGAAGGACATCAGGCCGGCCGGGGCCTGCATGACACAGCACCATCTTGCCCAGGCTCCGACCCGGGCCCAAAGCGAGCCCGACCTAGGGGGCGCCCGGGTGCACAGCCCGGCCCGCGGTCTCTCCCCCGTCCCCTTCCTCTCCTTACGTCTCTGAGGTCTAGACACCTCAGACGCGCCCCCGGCCAGGCCCGACAGGGCCTACCGAGCGCGACGGGTCCAGCGGTGCGCGCCCCCGTAAGCCGGCGGGCGGGCCGGCCAGCGTGTACTCACTCGGCTCCGGAGGCCATGGCGCGCGCCTCTCCCGGTCGGCGGCTGCGGCGGCCCGAGGGTAACGACTACGAGAATGGCAGGCGACCAACGAGGCCCGAACCGGACTCTCTCGGGGGGCGGGTGGACCAGCAGCAGCTACAAACCCGCAGGCGGCCTCTCTCTCGCTTCCTCCCAGCGGCACCGAGGCGGCGGGCGGGCTGGAGACGCTGGCTCCTGATCCGCGAGGGGGGCAGCGGCAACGACTAATCAACCGACGGCAGCTAACGCTTCACTGAGACTGAGCCGAGAAGAGCCGAATCATCGGAAGGAAAGCGGCTCTCATCTCAACCAATCAGCACCCGTCCTGCGGAGTCGTGCCCGCCTCTCCGCGCCTCTTCCCAGCAACCCGGAGACCAGAGCCAATCAAAAAATTGTTTTATAGCCTGGCTCCGCCCCAAGGATGCAACACGCCTAGTAACGCCGCGTCAATTGGCCACAGCACTACGCTTCCTCCACGGATTGGGATTCTTGACCAATCAGTGAGAGGAATACGGTAAGATCGACTGGCGAAAGGAGATCCTTTAAGCCCTTGGTGGAGGACTCTCCCACCTGGCTCCTGTTCATTGGCTCCTTATCTTATGCGCGCCTGAAGAATTTGGCACAATGGATTGAACCCTTGCTGAGTTTAGTCCTGTTGTAATGATAACCCACATACTCCCATTTCTCCCCATACCAAGGGACCACTTACTTCATTACACTAACCCTTCGTTCTCCTTTAAATCTGAATCCAGTGAAGCATGTGGGGCATGGATCATGTTTGTAATTCCAGCATTTGGGAGACTGAAGCAGGTGGATTATTATCTGGTGGCCAATCAGGCTACAAGACCAATTCTCACATACACAGAAAAAAGGCTGGGCATAGTGGTGCATATCTGCAATATTTGAAGCTGCAATCCCAGACTCAAAAACAAGTCAAAATAAATGTAGCTCCCTGTGGTAGTGTAGGCCTTTAATCCCAGTGCTTGGGAGCCAAAGGCCAATCTCTTAAAATCGAGGTTGGCCTGGTCTACATAGGGAGTTCCAAGTCAGTCAAGGCTACACCAACCTGTCTCAAAACGCATATATAACATATATACATGCACACATAAATTTTAAAAGCCTGGTGTAGTGGTGCAAGTCTTTAATTCCAGCACTCAGGAGGCAGAGGCAGGGCAGCCTGGTCTCCATAGCAAGTTCTAGGCCAGCCAGGGCTACATAGTGAAATAAATTTTGAAGGGGCTGGAGAGATGGCTCAGTGATTAAGAACATTAGCTGCTCTTGCAGAGGACCCAGGTTCGATTCCCAGCACCCACATGGTAGCTAACAACTGTCTGTAACTCCAGTTCGAGGGGAATTTGACGCCCTTTTCTGGCCTCCACAAGCACTGCATAACATGAGTACACTAACATACATGCAAGCAAAACACTCATACACATAAAATAAAAAATAAAAATATTTTAAAAATTAATTTTGAAAACAACTGGCTGTGGTGGTGCACACCTACAATCCCAGCATTCCAGAGGCTGAGGCACAAGGATTGAGTTTGAGACATGCCTGGGCTACAGCGAGACTCTAAAAAACAAGCACTAGCTCCAGCCACCTCTACTGTGGATCCTAGTTTTGGATCAGCCCCCAAGCTTCTAATCTATGCCACTCTATTGTCCTTGTACTCTAATCCCTCAGGTTTGACTACAACGGGGCTTCAAGCTGTGTATTCCTTACCACAGAGTATAAATATTATCTGGGGAAGTGGGAGCACTTAAGTTTCAGAGAGATCACAGGACAACCCCAGAACACACAGCAAATTTAGTAGTACCTAACAGCAATAAAATCTCACGCTGAGCCTTGAGGTCCTTGGGCCCAAATGACACCTGGCCCTCATTGTAGTCAACAGACAATTCTTGGTGACCTTCTACCTGCACAGACCCATTTGAAAAGGTTTGTTTCAAGAATTTATAATTAAGGAGAGATACAGAGTTACTCTGAGAGACTCAGAAGTCTGCCTTCTGAATACTGACCCTTAAGAGGCCTGTCAAGACCACCCTCCAGACCTAACTTTGCTCACTGTCACCTATCACAGAATCCCAGACTTTTGGCTGTGCTTTTAGATAATGGAAAAGATGATGGTACTGCCTTCTGAGAAGGATTGGTGTAGCTTTTTCCTCATATCCAGAGCTTAAGCTCTGAAGATGGATGATGTCAAGGGGCTGGGGATTCCTGTGTGAAGTCCTAGAATTCAATCCAACCTATGAAAAGGAAAGAGGGAAAGAGGGGGAAGGAGGAAAGATGAAAGAGGATAGATGGAAGATGGATGTTGGGAAGAGAGCATCTTAAACAACCAACACGCAACTAGTCAGCCAAGAGCCTTCCCACTCAAGCATATGTAGTAAGCAGATAAGATAAATACGAGATTTTACTCAACACAAAAAAAGGAGAAACTGGGGGTGGGGGAGTACCACGAGCACACTAGCAAAGGCAATGATTTGTTCATAGAACCATTCTGGAACTAGAATGGCAGTAAGTAGGCCAAGTTTCACAGTACTACCACCAACCTCTCCAGTGTAGGACTTATTTAGGAACAATCAGCTCCAATTATGTTCCCCAGGGAGGGAAAGCAGAAAAAAGCCCTCCCCATGGAGATGGTCCACCAGGGCCCCAGCCCAAGCTCTTGGAAACATGGCAGCTATAGGTCATGTGACTCCAGCAGCGATGTCTGAAACTCTTCAAGAAGGGTTTCACAGTTAGGGGGATGGAGCCAGCTCAAATAGGTTTCTAAGTACAGCGGAACAGACCTGAAAAGCAAAAAGAGTAATGCCCGAAACTGAAAGACACAGCTGAATGTCCTTCTTCCCTTCTATTCCTCATTACTCCCAAAGGGTCTCAGGACTACAGGAATCCAACCCCTCCCACCCCAAGTCAGTAGGACTAGGCCTTACCATGCAGCTTCTTCCTTCAGCAGATGAGTTTGGGCCTCCCGCCAGAAAGCAGTGGCCTCATTCTTCCGATCCAATCTCTTCAGAGTCTGAAGCAGGTAAACAGAACCATCTCGATTGCCTGTAGCCCAACCCCAAAGTACAAAGACTTAGAACCTGATATAGTAATTTTTTTTTTTTTTTTTGGTCTTTTTGAGATAGGGTCTCCCTGTAGCCCCAGCTGGCCTGGAACTCTCTACGTAGACCAGGCTGGCCTTGAACTCACAGAGATCTGCCTGCCTCTGCCTCCTGAGTGCTGGGATTAAAGGCATGCACCACCATACCCAACTGAACCTGATATAGTCTTATGCTTCATTTTTTGTTGTTTGCTTGCTTGCTTCCTTGTTTTGAGACAGGGTGTCACTATATAGCACTGGCTAGACTGTAACTCACAAAGATCCTCCTGCCTCTGCCTCCCAAGTTGCTGGGATTAAAGGTATACACCACCACACCTAGCTGTAGGCATTATTTTTAAAGAGGAAAATGGGCCTAGAGAGAGGAAGCATCTTGCCTACACGCACACACACAAAACCAAAACTAGATTATTCACAACCATCCTATCCAGGGGGCCACTGCCTGCCCAGTACAAAGTGTTCAACTAGCTCTGTTCCTACACAGCTCATCCCTACTCAGTCACGATCTTTGTGTCTGAGACACTGGGGATACCAGGGAACTCTTGGTAGCCGGGCATACACACTTTTTTGTATATGCACACTTGTGTACCTCCTAGGAATATACAGCACAACCGCATTCATTCCTCCTGTCTGAGAATTCCATCCTTCCACATATGTCCAAGTACCACCCCTCCTGACATGCACGTGTACATACCTGGGCATATCTGCACACTGAGGAGGAAGTCATTTAAGGCTTTGGTATCCTGGCTACTGGATACCCATTCCAGTCCACGACTAATCAGAGCAGCTACCCTAAGCTGTTGCAGTGCCACATCTGAGCAGGAGTATAGGTCCTCATAGGTGGAGCCTGACCCTAGAGACCACCACCACCAAAGTCAACAAGTGTCTCCCCAGACACACTGTTACCAAAACTTCAAGTCACCCTCTCTGGTTGTTTCCCACCCCTTTTTAGTTAAGGTCTCACTACAAGTAGCCCTGGCTTGCCCAGAACTCACTATGTAGGCCAGGCTGGCCTTGAACTCATAGAGATCCTCCTGCCTCTGCTTCCTGAGTGCTGGGAATGCCAGGATTCAAGGTGTATGGTACCATGCCTTTTCTTATCTCAATAGATAAGGGAACACAATGGAAAGGGAATGCTTGTGTTCTACCACCACTTTCAGGGAGTAAGAAAAATTGAAAATCTAAAGTAGAGCACATGCCTGTAATGCCAGCACTTAGGAGGTAGGAAGGAGGATCAGAAATTCAAGGTCATCCTCCACTAAATAGCAAGTTCAAGGCCAGCCAGGTCTACATAAGACCCAGTCAAAAAAGAAAGAAAAAACAAAACACCAAGGTTTTAAATTACCTTGTTCTTTGTCCTTAGGCACAGCCTGGAAGAGCAGCTCAAGGCACCTGAAGCAGGATGTAAACAGCAGGAATAAGAACTGACCTCTCAGATTAAGGAAAGTAGTAAGAATGGAGTCCACCAGTCAGGCTCCCTCAGAAGATAATCCTCCCACTCCTCCCCAGGACTCTGTGTGTCTGCTTGGACTCACTGGCTAAATTCACTAAGTGCCTCTTTCGGGGCCTTTAGTTGTGACCAGGCTTGGCCCTGAAGCAGGTGGGTGGCAGAGACCCAGAGTGGGCAGTGTGGCAGTTTTCTGGTTCCTTTTCTGACATTTTCCTGCAGCCAGGACATCTTGGGAAGCAAAGATGATGTGCGACTAAGCAGCTCCTCACAAACAGTCAAAGCATCCTGGGGTCGGCCTGCCTGGATCAGTGCTGCTGCTGCCTCCAAGAACAACTCTGGCATACACGGCCCTGAAGGGGAGGGCGGTGGGGAGAACTGGGTGGGAGGAGGGTACAGTGTCTTGAAGTGGCATGAACCACCATTCCTGAGCTCTTTACCAACTCTGCTACCATGTAGAGAGAGTTGGTACCCCAGACAGATCAATAGAGGGTAAAAGAAATGGGACCCCACACACTCCCACCTCATTAGAGAGAAATTTAAACACACACCTACCCTTGGCTCTGAGCCATCCAGCAACAGAGCTAGCAAGTCCAAGTAATGCTCTGCAGCTTCTTCTGCCCTGGAGAGTCAGTCATAGCCTGTGAGCCTCACCTAGGACCCTTCCAGTAAAATTACTCTTTTGACTAACGGAAGGAACTCATGGGCCCTGAGGAGTGAAAGGGAGGGCAGGGTCTTGGAGCTCCAACCCTGGTTCATTACAGATCTCAATTACAGGACAGATTGGGGAAAAGACTTCAGCATTTCAAAGATAGAAGAGGCACTGTCTGAATGAGTCCTCGGTTCAAGTCTAGCATTAAGGCAGGAGCCTAGCAAGTGAGGACCTATGCCCCGCCACTGTTTCAAGTCATCACTCAACTCTCATAACAAGCAATCATACAAGAGAAAAATGGGGGTGATGGCTCAGTGGGTAAAATGCTTGCAATGCAACATGGAGTCTGGAGCCCCCATATCCACATAAAAAACCACCAGTGCAGCAGTACACATCTGTAACTACAGCACTGGAGGTGGGATGGAAGATAGACAGATGGGCCTCAGTGGCCAGCCGGTCTAGCCAAAACAGAGAGCTCCACATTCACTGAAAAAGCCAATCTCAAAACATGAAGTGAATAGCAATAGAGGAAGACACCAAATGTTGACCTCTGACCTCACACTTGTCAACAAAGCTGAGTGGATCCCCTCCCCCTACACACAGGTATATACATACACATTCACATACACACACCACACCAATAAATAAATAAATAAATAAATACGATTAATGAAATTTAAAAAGAGGGGGAAAATAAAAAAAAATAATAGAATCACACCCCCAGGGAAAGGTCTCAGAGGTGGGAAAAGGAGCTCAGATGACCAAGGGTGAACTTCACCTCCCCGCCTGTAGGCATCGGCTTGCTAGCAGATACTTGGCCTGACTCTGTGTACCACAGTGAAGAGGAGATGCTGGGTCAGGTTGTGGAAGTAGCAAGTCTACCTCAATGAGAAGCTTGGGTGCCTCAGGGTTATGAGTGGCACTCAAGGCCTAAAAAAAAGAGAACACTATCTTTGGGAAACTGCATTTCCTTATATTTGGGGTCTTGATTAGCCACCCCAACACAAACAGCTTAGCAATCCTCCACGAGGTATCTTCACCTGGAAGTTCCCTACCTCAGCCAGCAGCTTCAGACTCTCCAGCTCTGCTGATGTGTCTCCCAGTTGCCGATATAATCTGGAAGCCTCTAGAAGTGGAGGAGCCCAGGTTGTTCCCACTTTCAGGGCTGCAGTCAAGTATAACAGGGCTTTCTGTGGGCTTCCCTATATGAATGGAAAGATCTAGGCTTCAGCTACCCTCACAAAGGAGAATGCTGTCCACAGTGCCCATGGTTTCCCCCATCGCCTCATTGTGCTGTCTTTACCATCTTTCGGAGACAGGTCCCCAGTGCTGTGTACACCTGGACTAACATAGGCTGTGGACACAGACCTGAGGCCGCTTCATGCAGGCTGCTCAATGCACTGGGTAGGTTCCCTGTGATCAGCTCCTGGAAGCCTGTGGGCAATCATGGTACAGGCTTAGACAGGCTGGTAGGGCAGGAAGCATGATGGAAAACAGAGCCAGAGAAGCTCCATGGAGACAGAGAAAGCATAAGCCCAGGGGACCCTTTGGAGAGGAAGGGATGAATCAGTTTGCTGGACCTTGGCGGTAGGCAAATGCTGTCAAAACGACATCCCTCAAAGCCGAGGCATTCTGCAGGGTTAATGGGGCATCTGACATCTCAGCTGGTGAGCTCCAAGATTTTAGCAGTAGCAGCAGATTCTCAGAGGCCTCAGTCTGGAGAGAGAGTAATAATCAGAGATTCTCATCACTCTATCCCACTCAGATTTTGAGCTCAAGAGTCCTTCTGATTACTGTCCCCCTAATTATAAGAGAAAGATAACTGTGGGGCAATGATGTAAGGAGGGAGAAAAATCCCAGAAAGCGCTTCCCTGTCACTCAAAATATGTCCAGGTAGACATGGGACAAGGACCATGTTTGAGTTACTAATGAGTAGACTGAGATTGGGAAATAACTTCAGCAAGGCCCTGAGAGCCTATCCTTATTAAGGCTTTTAGGTGAGAAAGGGAAAGGGGAGAGAGACAGGGTCTCACTATGTAGCCTTGGCTGACCTGGAACTTATTAATATACCAGACCAGGCTGGCCTTGAACTCATAGAGATATGCATGCTCTGGCTCCCAAGTGCTAGGAGTAAAGGTATGTGCCACCACATCAGGCTATTAAGCTATTGTTAAAACTGCCCCCAAGAAAGGGCTTAAGTAGAACAAAGTTACTCTGAGAGAACCCAGGATTTTTCCCTTTTTTAAAAAATTTTTTTAATTTTTATTTTATGTGTGTGCATGTATTGCCTGCATATATGTGAGTGCACTCGTGTCATGCAGTGCTACAGAGGTCAGAAGAGGGCTTCGGATTCCCCTGGAACTGGAGTTAAAGATGGTTCATAATCACTGTGTGGGGGTGCTGGGAATCGAACCCGGGTCCTCTGCAAGAGCAGTCAGTGCTCTTAACTGCTGAGCCATCTCTCCAGCCCCGATTTTTCTCTTTTTTTAACTACCATTACAGCAGCCTTTCTAGCACATAAGGATGCTACCTGCAAGCAGGGAACAGTGGTGCAGGCCTGTTATCCCAGCTATTGTACTCCAGAGGATGAGGCAGAAGGATCCTAAATTCAAGATCGGCGTAAGCTCAAGGCTAGACTAGGCAATTTAGTAAGTCCTTGTCTCAAAATAAAAAGTAAAAAGAGGGCTAAGAACTGGGCATGGTGGTTCACACCTGGAACCTCCACACTGGGGAGACTGAGACAAGAGGATGGCTAAGTTTGCAGCTTGGACTACACAGTAAGGCTCTTTTAACAAAAACAACAACAACAACAAAAATTGGTTGAGGATGGAGGGTGTAGCTCAGTGGAAGAGTGCTTGCCTAGCATGTTTGAGACCTTAGGTAAACTCTAATACTGCAGCTAAGAGGAAGAGAGGAGGGAAGGCAGTCTCATCTTCACCTCCCCCATTACCTGGCTGCCATTCAGGGTCTGCAACAGCAAGGCCAGGTCTCCTAGGTGGTCAGTGCTTAGCCAGAGGGCAGCCTGCAGGCTGGCCAGGCAGTGTAAGGCAGGAAGCAGCTCAGGCAGAAGGGAGGAAGAATGGAGGACAGAGTTCCACAGTTCTTTGAGTCCCTGTTCCAACTTGGGCCCCAGCTGATTCTGGGTCTCCAGCACTGTAAAGTACACATACACACAGCTAAGGTGAGACTTGGCCACACACACACACACACACACACACACACACACTTCTCATCTCCCCACACTCTCATTTTTCCCCTTCTGCAAGAGCCCAAGGTTTACAATAATACCCCAACCTGATCTAAGGAACATACAGAGGATTAGAGAAGGGCATTTCTCCCCATGGAGGTGATAGATTGTGTTGTCCCTCTCACCTACTAGAAAAGGCCTAAACCCAGACTGGAGCTGCCATGGGCATGGATGGCCTCACCTCTCTCTAGGCTCCTTTGGATATCCTGGGTCAGGTCTTCAGGGAAACCCTGGGCCAGGCTGGCCCTCAGGATTATAAAATTACAGGTGACAGTCAGCTCCAAGGGGAGAGCAGGAACGGCCGCAGGGAGTCCTGGAGCAAGAGATGCTGCTGTCACAGGCTATCCCACGAAAGATAGCCCAAATGGTTTTCAACCCAGAGATCAACCCCACTCCAACCAAAACGGCTTCAATAAAGAATCCATCTTTTGGTCAGACAGCCTGGATCTTAGAAACCACTTCTTTTTTTTTTTTTCTTTTTGAGACAGGGTCTCCTTATAGCCCCAGCTGTCCTGGACCTCATTATGTAGACCAGGCTGGCCTCGAACTCACAAAGATCCGCCTGCCTCTGCCTCCCAAGTGCTGGGATTAAAGGTGTGTGCCACCATGCCTGGCTAGAAACCACTTCTTTAAATGCTGGGGTGCGTGTGTGTGTGTGTGTGTGTGTGTGTGTGTAGGGGGAATTCACCTATAGAAAGCCAATTCCACTCCACTCCCCTGTGCCTTAAACAGGGCTCTCTAACTCCCTGAATAATCCCAGAACAGCATTTTCTGTGGAGGAGGGGAACTGAGCATCCTGGAAGGTCTTTCTTACCTTGCAGAGTGTGGAGGAGCCCCCTAAACTTTTCCAGTATGTCTTGAGCCAACCGCTGGCGTCTCAGAGATGGACTGGTATCCCGAGCCAGCTGCTGAAAATGGAGTGTGGGGAGGGGGTGGTCTATGAGGATCGATCAGTCACTGCATAGTGACAAGGGGGGGACTCATTTGCCAGTCACGTCTGGTCCTTCCCCTTGGCTGGGGTGAATCCACTGTGAACCCGCTACCTGGGAGCTTGGGTCTACAAAGCGAGGGTCCAACAACCGTCCTACCCTGGCCTGGTGAACAAGCCGGTCATTCTTTTGCCTCCATAGGTCCAGGCAGCTGGCGGGTGCTTTGGGGACGGCTGGAATGATCAGGTGGGACATTGTCGTCCACGTTGAGTCCCGACACCCGAAGGGGGCTTCGCACCCTGCCGGCGGAAGGCTGCGCCCACTGCCCCCGGGGCCCAGCCAGACCCACAGCAGAAGTCCGCCGCTCTGCGCGCCGCCCCGCCGGCTGCCACGGGAGCCTCGGGTTGGTCTGGCTGAGTTGGGTTCTTGCGAGAAACCGGGCAGAGAAACCCGAACCAAACAGGTGAGGAGAGTGAGGCCAGCCACAGGCTAGGGCCTTTCGGCCTGCTTGGGCCCTCCGCGGGACTAGCCTAGAGGAAGAGTGATCAGGAGCGGGTCTCAGTACCAGAATGCCGGCCTCCGTCCAGCCTTAGAACCAACTGTCTGCCAGGATTTCCCGCCGCGGGAGGCTGGTCCGCGCCTGGCATGCTGGGAGTTGTAGTCCGACCGAGAGGATCAAAGAAAGGTTCTGCCCGGAAGAAAGTATCTCCCAAGCTCCTGACAGGAGACTGAAGCCCCTGGTAATCCTCGCACCATTTCTTTTAGAGTGAATGGAGCCAAGGGAGTTGGGATCCAAACGCACAACTAAGGGGGTGGGGGAGTACTCGACTCGACTCTACCTATATAAGATCAACTCAAAATAATTCACAAATGAAATATAAGAGCTTCTAAATATAAATATAAATTCAAAATATAAAACTTGTAGAAGAGGGCTGGAGAGATGACTCAGCGTTTAACAACAACTGGCTGCTCCTGCAGAGGACCTGGGTTCGATTTCCCACATGACAGCTAACAACCATTTGTAACTCCAGTTCCATTTTTGTCTTTTTGAGACAGGGTCTCCCTGTAGCCCCAGCTGGCCTGGAACTCGCTATGTAGACCAAGCTGGCCTCGAACTCACAGAGATCCGCCTGTCTCTGCCTCCCAAGTGCTGGGATTAAAGGTATGCACCATCATACCCAGCTTAATTTTATTATTTTATGTGTATGCGTGTATTGCCTGCATGTAGGTAAGTGCACCTGTGTGGTGCAGTGCAGTGCCTACGGAGGTCAGAAGAGGATGTAGGATCCCCTGGGACTGGAGTTATAGACAGCTGCCATGTGGGTGCTGGGATTCAAACCTGGGTCTTCTGCAAGAACAACCAGTGTTCTTTTTTTTTTTTCTTTAATTTTATGTGTATGCGTGTATTCCCTGCATGTAGGTAAGTGCGCCCGTGTCATTCAATGCCTGCAGAGGACAAAAGAGACTGTCAGATCCCCTGGAACTGGAGTTATGGACAGTTGTTAGCTGTCATGTGGGTGCTGGGATTCTAACCCTGATCTTCTGCAAGAACAGTCAGTGTTCTTAACTGCTGAGCTATCTCTCCAGCCCCCCAGTGTCCTTTTCTGATCTCTGAAGGGAATCACACAGCACAAGCACACTTACATACATGTAGGAAATACACTCATACACATAAAATAAGAATAAAATATTTTAAGATATTTTTAAAATAAACTTAGAAAACAAAAGATCACCTTCATGAGTCTGAGTTTAAATTTTGGTTTTGTTTTAATTTTGTTATTTTTGAGACAGTCTCATTATGGCCTGGTACTAGCTCTGCTACCGCAGACTTATAGTCCTCCTGCCTCATCTTCCCAAGAGCTCGGATTGCAGGTGTACACCATTATGCCCAGCATACAGTGAGTTCTCAAATACCTTAATAAGTATGAACAAATAAGAACAAAAAATGAGCAATTAAAAAGTTAGAGTTAGGGCTGTAGGGATGACTCAGCCATTAAGAGCCCTTGTGCTGCTCTTGCTGGTTCAGTTCCCAGCACCCACATGACCGCTCACAACCTCCTGTAACTCCAGCTCCAAGGAATCTAATGCCCTCTTCTGGCTTCAGAGGGCACAAGGCATGCACATGGTGCACATACATTCAGGCAAACACTCATGCATATAAAATAAAAATGAATAAATCTTTTTTAAAAAGTTAGACTTCAGGCTGGAGAGATTGCTCAGTGGTTAAGAACACCACCTGCCCTTGCCAAAGACCTGGGATTGGTTCCCATGGCTGCTAACAACCATTGGTCACTCCAGTTCCAGGGGATCCAATACTCTCTTCTGTCTTTCAAGGGCACTGCATGACACAAGTGCACTTACATACATGCAGGCTGTACACTCATACACATAAAATAAAAATAAATAATTTTTTAAGTTAGACTTCATTAACATGAAAAACTCTTAAACTGGAAATGGTGCATGCCTTTATTCCCAGCAGGAAGGTGGGAGTAGGAGGATGGGACCTGAGGTTGGAGGAACAAGAAGTGTTCAGGGCCAGCCTGGACCACTTGTGTTCCTGTCCCAGGAAACCCCCAAAACAAAGCAAAAATCAATCACTCAATCTTTTGTTATCAAAGTAAAAAGTATCAGTAAGAAAACTCTGTGTAGTTCAGTGGTAGAGTTCTTGCCTAGCATGTGCCAGGGGTGGTCCACCCCAGGTATGGTCCTCCTCAACACTACGAAAAAAGAAAAAAATTCAGAATTTGAAATTAATTTTAAAGTCCAGAGCAATGACAAATGCCTGTAACCCCAACACTTGGAAGAATGATCACTTTTCAAGGTTATCCTTTTCCTATACAGCAAGTAGAAGCCCAGCCTGGGCTACATGAGATTCTGTCTCAAAAAAAAATCAATTTTAGGACAAAAAGAAAATGAATCAGGGAATGGTGACACACACCTGTAATTTCAGCACTCGAGAGGCAGAGGCAAGCACACTTCTGTGAGATCGAGGCCAACCTAGTCTATTCAGTGGGACCCTGTCTCAAAAGAAAAATGAGTCATGAATTGTTAGTCAGGTGTTGTATCATAGGCCTGAAATCCCAGGGCTCATGAGGAGAACAGAGGAGGATCAGGAGTTCAAGGCCATCCTTGACTATATAAGGAGGTGGAGGTCAGCTTGAGCTCCAAGAGAATAACTTTATAAGACAGACTAGAAGTTCTTTCATTATTTTAAACTTTTATTTATTTTATGTATATGAGTCTTTCGCCTGTATATATGTAAATGCACCTGTGCATGCAGTGCCTTCGGAGACCAGGAAAGGGTGTTGGATCCTCTGGAACTGGAGTTACTTACAGTTGTTAGCTGCCATGTAAGTGTTGGAAATTGAACTCAGGTCCTCTGCAAGAGCAGCCAGTGTTCTTAACCACTGAGCCATCTCTCCAGCCCTGGTATATAACTATATATATATGTATGTATAAATAAGACAACTCTCCAGTTATTTTTTTTTTTGAGACAGGGTCTCCTTGAACTCCTGGTCATCCTGCCTCAACCTTCCAAGTTCTGGAATTACAAGCATATGGCACCATGACCAGGTTGAATGGCAGTTCTTTTATTTATTCCTTTTTTTGGGGGGGGTCTTTTTGAGACAGGGTCTCCCTGTAGCCCCAGCTGTCCTGGAACTCACTATGTAGACCAGGCTGGCCTTGAACTCACAGAGAACCGCCTGCCTCTGCCTCCCGAGTGCTGGGATTAAAGGCATGTGCCACCACGCCCGGCTACTTTGTTTTTTAAAAAATATATACTTCCTTACAATTTTCATTGATGTATATTCATTAATCATGGTACTGGGCTTTATAAAGACATTTTCATAGATGTAAATACTTTGAGCATTTTACCCCATCCCATAGTCCCTAGTCTCCTACTTCTCACCCCCATCCCCTTTGTTCCAGGTGTGTCCATCCTGTGTCCTAAAATTTGGGGGGAGGGGGCATGCCCATGTGCAAGGCCAGAAGAGGATATCTTTCATTCCCGCCTTATTCCTTTAGTCAAGGTCTCTCACCGAACAGAAAGCTCATTGTTTGGCTAGGCTGATTGGCCAGCAAGATTTAGAGATCACCTGTCTGTGTTCTCCATACGTAGTGAGACCCTATCTCAAAAAAAATTTTTATTACTCTGTGTGTGTGTGTGTGTGTGTGTGTGTGTACCATAAAATACATGTGGAGGTTAGAGGACAAATTTGCAAGAGTTGGTTCCCTCCTGCCATGTGCATCCCAGGGAGCTTCTGCCATGTGGGTCATCAGGTTTGGTGGGGAGTGCCTTTTACCCACTGAGCCATTTCACCAGCCCTCACTTCTATTTTTCTGTCAGATACCTAAAGTCTAGGAACCACAAATGAGAGAAAGCATATCATTTATCTGAAACTGACTTAATTCACTAAGTTGACTAACCCTAGTTGCATTCATTTTCCTGCAAACAACCTAACTTTATTATTCTTTATGTCTAAAAAAATCCCCTTGTGTATACATTCCACATTTTATCTGTTACTCTTTTGGATGCCTAAACTGGTTCTGTAACAGCTATTGTGACTGGAGCTACTATAAGCATAGATGTGCAAGTATCTCTGTGACATGATTTGGAGTCCTTTGGGCAAATGACTAGAAGTGGGAGAGCTGAATTACATAGTAGATTTAATTTTAGTTTGTTTAGGAACCTCCATGTTGATTTCTTTAGTAGGTGAACTAGTTTACATTCCCACCAGCAGTGTGCAAAGGCTGCCCCCACCCCCACCCTCTGCCTACCCTCTTTCACTACATAGCCTTGGATGGCCTATTGGTCTCACTATGGAGACCAGACTGAACTGGAACTCACAGAGATCCTTCTGCCTCTGCCTCCCAAGTGCTGGGATTAAAGGCATACACCACCACACCCAGCCAGACTGGCAGTTCTTTAGGATTTTTGGTCTTTGGTTTTGCTTTTGACAGAGTCTCCATATGGAGCCCTGACTAGCCTAGGTCTTGCTGTGTAGACCAGGCTGGCCTCAAACTTGTGGTGATCCTCCTGTCTTGGCCTCCCAAGTGATGGATTAAAAGCACCCACCATCATGCCTAGCTAAATACTAAATGACACAGCAATTCTGTAACTGCCACTGGGTATGTACCCAAAAGAAATTAAAATGTACGTCCACAGATATATGGATGAGCATGACACCAATTTTAAATTTTTTACCTTAAAAGATATTTATTTTTAATGTGTCAATGTTTGCTTTGCATGTATGTATGTGCACCACTTGTGTACCTGGTGCTCATGAAGCCCAGAAGACATTCGATCCCCTGGAACTGGAGTTACAAACAGTTCTGAGTTACCATGTGCATGCTTGAAACTGAACCTGGGTCCTCTGCAAGAGCAGCAAGTGCTCTCAACCACCGAGCCATCTCTCCAGCCCTGTTATTTTTTAATACTTATTTGTAGGGGCACCACATGCACACAGTGCCTTCAGAGGCCAGAAGAGGGCATCAGATCCTCTGGAACTGTAGTTACCAGTGATCATTCCTTGCCATGCTGGTGCTGGGGGCAGAACCCAGGTCGTCTGCAAGGGCAACCAGTGCTTTTAACTGCTGAGCCATTTTTCCAGCCCCGTTATGAGTGTTTTTGAGGCATGGTCTCACTGAATAGTCCTGGATGGCCAGGCTGGCTCAAAACACCATTTTTTATAATATCTAAATATCTATTAATGGATGAATACAGAATTAAAATATGGCATATCCATACAGTGGAATATCATTTGGCCATAAAAAAGGAATGAAGTACCAGGACATGCTGAAACCTGGATAAACTTTGAAAACATTACACTAAGTCAAAGAAGCCAGCCATGAAAGAAGACACATATTGAATGATCCCATTTGTATAAAATATACAGAATAAAACAGAGCAGATTAGTGGTGCCACAGGTAGGACTGTGCTCACTGGTACAGGCTTTCTTTTGGGGATGAAATGTTCTGCAATTAGTATTTGTGATTATTGCACATTATTAATGTACTTACAGCCATTGAATCATACTTTTTTTTTTGAGACAGTCTCACTATGTAGAGCAAATAGGCAGGCCTGGAAATTGCAGAGATCTACCTTCCTCTGCCTCAAAAGTGCTGATATTAAAGGCCTGTGTCATGCCCAGCTCCATCTCAATTTTTTTATTATTTTTATTTTATGTGTATGAGTGTATTGCCTGCATGTATGTAAATGCACCCATGTCATGCAATTCTGCAGAGGTCAGAAGAGGGCTTCAGATTCCCCTGGAACTGGAGTTAAGGACGGTTTGTAGTTGCCATGTGGGTGCTGGGAATTTGAACCCGGGTCCTCTGCAAGAGCAGTCAGGGCTCTTAACCACTGAGCCATCTCTCCATCCCCCCATCTCAATTTTTAAAAAGACAAAGTTTTTACATACACTGCTACATAAACTTTGTAAACATCATGCTGAAAGCCATCAGTCATAAAAGACCAAATATTTCAGGATCTCAGTTCAGTTAAATGCCCATGGTAGGCACATACAGGCAGAAAGCAGGTTAATGAAGCTGGGTATGGTGGTACACACCTACAACCCCAGCACTTGGGAGATGGAGGTAGGACAATGGGGAGTTCAAAACCAGCATTGGCTATGTAAGACCCTTTCTCAAAACAAACAAAAGCAGACCTATCTGCTCATCTCCAGAAGCTGGAGAAACTGGAGGGTAATACAGCTTCTCCTGAGTTGATGAACCTATTGTATAATTGCTGGCAGTGATAGTTACACAATTTCACAAATATACAAAATCCACTGAATTGTCAGCTTGATTTTTTTTTTTTTTTTTTGAGACAGTGTCTATGTAACCTTGGCTGGCCTGGATTTTACTATGTAGACTGTGATGATCTCAAAGTTGACACAGTCTTCCTATCAGTGCCTCCAAAGTGCCAGAATCAAAGCCATGTCCCATTATACCAGGTTTTTTTGCTTCTCTCCTAGTTCATCTTACAAGTTAACTGAGGACTAAATTCTCCCCTTTGCATTATCAAACCTGTTTCTACCAGTGTAACAAATGACTCATTTACCTCCAATGGTATACTTTCATCATTTTTACATCTGACCTAACACTAGGGTTTGACTACCTACCAGTGAATGCTTCTACTTCGTAACATTCCTAAGCTTTTCTCCTGCCTAAGAGTAGTTGCTGTCCCATGGTTTTGTTGAAAAACAAACAAATAACACCTAAAAAACACTTTTTTTTTTAGACAGGATCTCACGTAGCCCAGGCTGGCCTCAAACTCATTATATAGCTGAGGCTGTCCTGAACTGCTCATCCTCCTGACTCTACCTTCCAAGTACATGATGAAGTTGTATGCCACCACACCCAGCTGCCCTGTGGTTTTAACATCTGTTCATCTGCCTTTTAGTGGTCCTATCTACTCCTAACTGGAACACACTCAAACCTCAAACCCAGTCCTAACCCTTCTCTCCAGAGTCTCTTCTCAACTCCTTTGAGGGCATTTCCAGGACAATCTCACAATCAGACAATCTGTCTGTGGTGGGACAGACAGAAGAGTGAGTGGGAGACACAAGAGAAGCATTTACCTTCTATTTTGGCTTTAACTTGGGAATAATCAATGGGTAAGTAGATCTGATAAAGGCAGCACAGGTTAGAAAACTGGAGAGGCTGCTACACACGTGAAGGGCAAAGGGTGTTTGAGTGCAAAAGGACACAGCAGGGGTCTGTGTGCCCCATGATGCCTGGGCTGGTCTGTTCAGTCAAAGCAGAGAATCACACACACACACACACACACACACAGAGGCATATGGTGATGTGGGGGAACTAGTGGGATAACAGGAACAATTTAGGAAGAAGTCAGAGCAAGCAGCGAATCCAGACAACTTCATGCCAAAGGTCCTCGGGTATGGCAGATTTAAAATGACACATCTAATCTGTGCTTGATGGAAGGGGAGGCTGACCCTTCCCCCCAGCAGATTTACAAGACATGGTGGGTTCCTCCATACCTTAGGCACATATATTTACATTATTACTATTATTACTTTATTCCACTTTGGAGACAACCCCTTGTAGTCTATCAGATGCATCCAAATCAGGAGTTAGGGGTCAGGCTCCACTGTGACTCTGAATTATAAAATAATGAAGTCCTAAAGTGAACAGCCTCTGGTTACATGGTGGTAAGAAGTGTGTCAGAGTCTCTACTGCAGAATATCCAGCACTGTACGGGTTAGGCTAGACTATTCTCCAGCTCTTTCCATGGCCAGTTATAGCCTAGGCTACCTCTGCTGGGGCAGAACTAGTTTTCTGAACCAAGAACTCAGAGCACCATCCACTCTCATCACCAAAGCTATGCCCAGTAGAAGTCCCACGCTGCTCACAATGAAACCTATGGCTTCAAAAATGAATCTGCAAAGAAAAATGGAGCATTTTAGAGGACAGATAACAGGTCTAATGCCTTTCCTGTGAAGAGACAAAACCTTGTCGACTCAGGATGTTCATAGTTTGCACAAAGCCTCTCCCCCATACCACTTCTCAAGAGAATGCACTCACTTGGGGGCAAACACCTTCCAGACCATGAGATGCCTGCGGAGAATTGAAGCTGCCAAGGCACAGGCCAGAATCTAAGGAAGAGAGGAGGGGGCAAAGTTACCTGAGAGGAAGCAAGGCAAAGGAAGAATGCTGTAGACCATGGTGAAAGACAAAAGGAGGAGGATCACTGGAAAACACCCTGGCTAGGAGTCAGGAAATCCAATTCTTATCCTGGTCTGACCAGGGACTCATGTGAACTTGGACAAGTCACTGTCCAGCTGTGATGCTGACATTCAGGATCTGCCTCCTGCATAAAGGAAGATGACAGTGATACAGCTTCTGCCTCTGGACCACAGCTTGGGAAAGAATCGGCCATAACCTCACCTTTTCTTTTTCTTTTTTTCCCCCTGCCAGAGCTGAGGACCGAACCCAGGGCCTTGCACTTGCAAGGCACGCACTCTACCACTGAGCTAAATCCCCAACCCCAAGCTTTTCAAAATGCAACTAGCAGGATCTAGCTATGCTGCAAAGAGGAAATGATCCAGGAAGCCCAGGTTCAAGTCTCAAAGTGCCATGTGAGATCTGGATTGAACAGTCTCTTGATTTATCTGGACCTCCATGAGGCCTCTCTCCCAGGGTTTTTGAAACTAAGAAAAAGCATTAAGTACGTATGTGGGAAAAGGTCATTAGCTCTGTCGTCTCTCCCCTATACCCACCTGAACACCTAAGACAAAGAGGTACTTGAGGCCTAGCTGTAGCAGCGCTGCATTGAAGTGGTGAGGAGCATCCCGGAGCCGCATCTCCATCAATGGCTCCTCTTCTTCTTCTTCCTCGGGCCTGACTCTGGTCTCAGCTTCACCCCCTGGTAGCTGCCGCCTCTTCCTCCGCCCTTGACTCTCACACAGGAAGGGCCAGAGCAGGAGCAGTGGGCAACCTACTGCCTCCAGGGATGACAGGGCTGGAATCAAGGGAGGATCCTGGGACCAGTACTCCCTCATCCCCAACTACGCTAGTTGCCTCAAGAACTTAGGGCCAAGGGATTCCAAAGGGCCAACAAAACCACATCTTTCCTTCCAAATCCAGGATTTTCCTTTCTTTCCACAAAACCAGAGTAAACAATAGGAGCTAGGGAGGGAAAGCATGGAGGTACCTGCAAAGAGGAGGTGAGAGGCAAAGGTGTTAGCTCCCACTAACACAGCAGGCACCCAAGTAGAAGAGCCATGACCTTCTGGGAATCCCACGAAGGCTGCATGCCAGTGGATGGCTGGAAAGACAGGCTGGTGGCCTGTGGAGTAGAAGGTCTGGGTGGCCAAAAGGGCCCAAGCTGAAACTGCCTGCCATGGCACAGTAAAAGGACCTGGAAGAAAAGATACATGTCTTTACAATCATATCTTATTCCCTAACCCATAGCCTACTGCTCTGGGATCATATAGTCCTAGTACTAGAGGGCAGATTCTCACAGTCATGTGCCACTTTTATAACTAAAATCTCAGGAAATGTGCTCCTGAGGATGCATCGTTTCCATAAGACATGAGTCTTGGAAGACTCCATATCTGCCCTCCCTAAGAAATGTGCTAGCCAATGGGAAGGATCAGCATGGTGATGGCAGATGAGGGAGGACATCAGGAAGACCTTCCCAACTGCAAGCATGAGACCCTGTGTCGAGGTGACAAACACTATCTTTAGATGAATCGGGGATGAGATCTGTATTTACCAGGGATGGTAACTGGTATCCCAGCAGCAAGCAGATGCAGGAGAAGGAAGCTCTGCAGAAACAGAAGCAGGAACACAAGGCTGATGCGCTCTACATGCAGCAGCAGAAGTGGAAAGGCCAACAGGATGAGGGCTGTGACCATAGTGGCTGAGTAGACACTCCCCAGCTGATATGCAGCCACAGTTACAGGACCCTGAGATTTGATCCTCTCTAACCGGCCCTGGAACTCTTCCTGCATGTGTCGGTAGATTTGAGGGACCACATAATCTAGGTCAGCCTGAGACATAGGGGGGCCTGAGAAGGGAGTGAGGATAGTCCTGGTCCTTGAAGCACCAGCCCCAGCCTTCACCAGTACTGTCACAGGCCTCCAGAGCAGCAGTATGAGCCCTGAGGCAGCCAGTCCTGCCACAGCCCGAGGTAGCACAACTGATGCCCCAGCAACCAGGGCCTGGAGACGTGGGGGTGCTTCATCTGCTCCCGATGCCAATGCCCAGTAGGCAGCAGTGCCTAGTACCATGAGAGGCAACCCCCAGCGCACAAAGAGCACAGGGGGCTCAGGACTCTTGAGATTAGAATAGTGGTGAAGCCATAGGCGCACAGCACCTAACAGGGCCACCAGTGACCCCACACAAGTGCCATACCACAAATTCTTGGCTTGGCCGCCAACCATGGATGCCAGAGGACTCAGCCAGGGAGAGGAGTGGCAGGCAGGTGTCTCTTCAGGGCAGCGATGAAAAAGCCCAGCTAGCCTTGTACATAAAAGCAACCCAATTCCAAGCCTCAGAGCATATGCACCACTGTGCCGTGGGGGACATGTTGGGGCAGAAGAGCTGAGACGGGATACTGTGAGCAGCTTAGGTGGCAGTAGCTGGCCCTCCCAGTGAAGCTGGGCAACCAGGAATAGGATTAGAGAGCCCAAAAGGAAGGGGGTGGACCTGGCCTCAGCAACAACAAAGCTATCAGAGAAGAAGGTGGCCAAGCGAATGAGCAGGAATAATAGGACAGGTCCAGGGATAGGAAGCAGGGTTGCCAGGGGCCTCCTGGACCCCCAGCCAGCCCAAATCTTCCACAGAAAAGGGAGGAGTGAACCTGTTGCAGCTACAGCCCCTAGAATTACTGAGTCTAGTTTCGACCCAGTAGTTGCTGAGAGTCCAGCATATAATATGGCCCAGGTGAGGCCCCAGGCTACAGGTATCAGTAATAGTGGGCGGAAGAAGAAGCCTGGGGATACTGCCCACTGGGATGCAAAGAGACAGAGAAAGCAGGCTGCTGCCAAGAGAGCAGCACCCCCTGCCATGCGGACCAGAGAGAAACGGGCCCATGATTCGATGCATATGGCCCGAGCTCCCCTCAGGAACTGCTGCAGCTCAGCAACCACAGTCCTCAGTGTCTCCTCAGTCCCTTGGGGGTTCTGCAGAGCCTGCTGGTAGCCAGCAGATGCCTTGGAGAAAAGGTTCTGCAGCCTACGAAGCTCTTTAACTTGGAGATCTTGAGTGGCAGCTGAGTAGGTGTGAAGAAATCGGGACACCTAGCAGACATTTCAGAGACAAAGGGAAACAAGTCAGAGATATAAAACAGGGCAGACACAAGGATAGGTATTATAAAGACAGGTACATAGAGCCAGGCGTGGTGGTGCAACACTTTAATCCCAGCAATCCAGAGGCAGACAGATTTTTGTGAGTTTGAGGCCAGCCTGGTCTACATAGTAAGTTCCAGGGCCAGCTGGAAATTGGGGACCAAAACTTTATTTTATTTTATTTTATTTTATTTTATGTGTATGAGTGTATAGCCTGCATGTGAGTGCACCCATGTCGTGCAATGCCGTGGATGTCAGAAGAGGGCTTCGGATTCCCCTGGAACTGGAGTTAAGGACGGTTCGTTGCCACCATGTGGGTGCTGGGAATCGAACCCAGGTCCCCTGCAAGAGCAGTCAGTGCTCTTAACCACTGAGCCATCTTTCCAGCCCCCTAGGGACTAAAACTTTTATCTGGGATGAAGGAAGCAAGGCATGATAGAAAAGGAACATGGCCATGGAAGGTGAGATGGAGGGGAGAGATGAACTAGAGCAAGGACACTGGCCATTCATTGTGCTTTATCACGTAGATGCCTAAGTCCTTTCACCTACCTGCTGGGCATTGATGTGAAGAGCTGAGGCTTGGGCTAGAGCAGAGGAGTAGGGCTCAGAGTCACTGCCACCTGAGAATAGCCCAGCCATCACTTCCCCGATGTTCCCAAATGGGATGGGCAGGCCTAGCAGCAGTGCTAGGGTGGGTACAAGACTGACTTGAGGAATAACCTCTGGCTCCTAGAAAGAAAGTCAATGGATTCATCACAAAGTTGAAGTAAGCATTTAAGATGGAAGAAGACGTAGGAGCCTATGTAAGAAAGGGGGGCGGGGGTTGATATTCTGCAGAGGTGGCTCAGTGGTTAAGAGCACCTGCTGCCCAAGAATAAGGACCTGAGTTCAAATCATGACATCCATGTAAAAATCCGAGTAAGGCCATACGTGCCCATAACCCCAGGACTGTGGGGGAGAGAGCAGAGAGATAGGAGGATTGCTGAGGCTTGCTGGCCACCAGGCTAGCTCCAGGTTTGGTGAGAGACATTCTCTCAAAGGAATAAGGTGCAAGTGACAGAGCAGGGCATCTAATGTCCTCCTCTGGCCTCTCCACCTACATATGTGTACATATACTTGCACACACATAGGCACATACACTATACACACACAAAGAAAACTAAATGAGAGTGGGAGACACCCAGATCATGGTTTCGGAAGCCTAAAAAAACGGGATCATGATATGGGGAGATCCAAGAGGTACATCCTAACCCTCACCTCTGGTGGGGCACCGGGGAAGGCTGTGGGACTGTACAGGAAGAGTGCAGCTGAGACCTCCAGCTCACTGTCCCCACCGTGGTCGCCATTCATGGTCATTCCATGATCACCAGCTACCACCAGCAGTGTATCATTCTCCAGACGGTCCACAAGTCCCCTGGGAGTCAAGAAATGTGTCAGAGGGTAGGGAGGGAATATTCTTTGGGGTCATTCACCCCAGGATAGGGCTTAAACCTCTGGCAAAAAGACACTCTTCAGCCATAACCCTGATGCCCCAAACCATACACCAAGTTATTCAAAATGGATGATGCCCCTAGCTTTAGAACATCAGGAGGTCTGTATAAAACAGAATCCATCCAGGAAAAGAGGCTCCAAATTAGGTCTTTTTCTTATTGGACCATATGTCCTGAGAATCTCAAATACAAACCCACTTCCCCAGCCAATGCCCCACACTCACTGGATCACCTGGTCCATCTGGCTAAGTTTCTTGGCCATTTCAGGGTGGTGAGGGCCATGTTTGTGGCCACAATGATCCACACCCAGGAAGTGAGCAATCAGCACGTCCCATTCACCATTGTCCACTGTGAAGGGGAGAACACTGAGCACAGGGGACTAAAGCCCACTCCTCAACCCAAGCCAGGCTTTGACATTCCTCTATATCAAGGAATACAACCCCCAGGCTGCTGTGCCCACTGGAGGTCCAGAATCTGTAGACTACAATCTCCCCATCTCCCAGGGTTGGTCAGGGACTAAGTGTTTTTGACCCGTGCTCACTGGTAGGATAGAGGTGTTCCAGGATGCCATTGTCCACTGTATGTAAGTCTCTGACATTGAAGGATGAGAAGAAGAAAGCCTGGGAAAAAGCTCCAGGGAAAAGCTCTTTCCAGGTATCATCTCCCATGAAGACTATACGTTTTCCTGCAGGGACAAGAGAGGGGGGTCAGAGCATAAACAAAAATAACAGCAAAGGAGAATAGGAGAGAAGACTCTTATTTTATTTTAATTTTTTTTTTTTTTTGGTCTTTTTGAGACAGGGTCTCCCTGTAGCCCCAGCTGGCCTGGAACTCACTGTGTAGACCAGGCTGACCTTGAACTCACAAAGATCCACCTGCCTCTGCCTCCTGAGTGCTGGGATTAAAGGCGTGTGCCATCATGCCTGGCTGGAGAGAAGACTCTTAAGGACCCATCAGAGGGTGGGTGAGATGGTTCAGTGGGTAAAGGTGCTTGCCAGCAAGCCTGACAACCTGAGAATAATACCCAGAACCCATATGATGGAAGGAGAGAATCAAATCCCCCAAGTTGCCCTCTGACTTTCATGTTTGTACCCTGGTGTATGCACCCACACACATATACATACAGAGAATAAATGAATGAAAAAAAAAATCAAAGCCAAATCTTTTAAAAGACCCCCCCAAAATTCTAACCACATACCCCAAGGTAAAGGAATTCCATCCAGCATACCTAAAATTTCCCATCTGGAAGCTTTCTCTGATAACGACACTCCATCCAGATCCCTCCCATTCCTACAAAATGATCTGCTACTTCTCAGTCCCAAGGTATCTAAGTTGACCTTTTATTGCTGTTATTGTTTTGTTTTGAGACAGGGTCCCACTATGTAGCTCTTGCTGGCCTGGAACCCACTATGTAGACCTGGCTGGAGAGCCTGCCTCTGCCTCCCAAGAGCTGAGATTAGGGGTAGGAGGGATGGTTCATTGGTTAAGAGCACCGACTGCTCTTGCAGTACCCACATGGTGGCTAACAACCATCTGACATCCTCTTCTGACCTCAAGCTTTGTATGCACATGGTGCACTTACATACATGTAGGCAAAACACTCATACGCATTAAAAAAAAAAAAAGAGAGAGAGCTAGGATTAAAGGCATGTGCCACCATTCCTGGCCCTCCGCTTGTTTTTGTTTGGTTTGTAACAAGGAGTAAGTGAACAAAACCTGGTTACCTCTACTCTTTCTCCACACTTACAAACCAAGACTCCTCTATCTTCATTTCTTTCTTTCTTACTTAACTAAGAGCTCTCCGAGTTAAAGAAACATTTCATGCAAACTAGAAGCTCCATCAAGGACAAAACCCCTTGTCCTCCAAACTGAGCTCTCCTCTACAAGCAAGGTCTCTTCTATTTCTCCTCCCGTTTCCCTTCATTATAGCCAGGCATGTAGCTGGACACCCAAAGTCCAGGCTCCTTAACTTCTAAGGCTTAGGTACACCTGGCTTCCAAAGGGGCCCATACTGACCTGCACTGGTGAGCTGCTTAATGAGATTATCTTCCACTATGGCATGGCTGGCGAAGTTACTGCCAGCATCAATAAAGGTAGGCAGTGAGCCTGTGGTGAGAGCCTTGAGTCGCTGCATGGTGGTGGTAGGAGGATCCACCAGAGATCGGTATAGCCGTGCATGGTGGGGCTGACTCTCCAGGATCCTCTGCAGGGAGCCTAATTTTCCCAGAAAAGGCAAGGAGACAGGAGGCTCCCCGGGCACATGTGAGTGCTGGGGTTGGGCAAAGTCAAATCGCAGAGCATCTATCAGCACCAACACAACCCGAGAGAACTGGGAAGGCATCCAGCAGGCTCCAGACTTTCCATGGCTTCCCTGTGGCAGGGAACCTGGGCCAGGGGGCTCTTGGCAGCTGCTTTGGTTGGTGAGCTCCAAACGGGTGAGAAGGAAGCCAGTGGTGAAGAGGGCAATGCCAGCGTAGAAAAGAAAACAGACCCATGTTAAGAAAAGCAGCACGGAGACCTTCTGCATGCTGGGAGAGAAGAGAGGAAAATTTTTATTGTGGGACAGTGGACATTCTAGCCCTCAATACAACACCCAGCTAGAACCACTTCCTACTATAACACTTCCTGGACATTAACAACCCATAGCCAACTCATCCCAGCGCTTTCTCTCTACAAGTCATACAGATGTCTCTGAGGGAGCGATCCTGACACTATGGATATCAACCTGGAGCCGCTGTTTATAAAAAGTAGTATCCAGCGCCCACGCTGCACCTACTGCTTCAGGATCTTTGGGGTGAAGACAGGACTCTGTGTACGGACAGCCAGAGATCCTAATGCTATCAAGCCACAGTCAACTATTCTAAGCGGTAGTGCTCTCTGACAGTTCATCTCAACTACAATCCCTGGACTATCTCAACATCCCCACGGTGCCCAGGGATAGCGGCGGCGCGGATATCCGAACAGAGAGTACCGCGCCGCCTGGTGGGGACCAGAGGACGAGGGGGAGGAGTCACGCTCGCTTCCGGGCGGCCGGGATCCAGGGAAAACAAGGAGCTCCGGGCTGGAGCGGGTGGGGCCTCGCTGGGGCGCAGGAGTCCCCGCGCCTCTGCCTCCGCCAGCGGCTACCCGGGGCAGTCTCTCCCGGTGCTGTGTACCCCGACAGCAAGCCGGGGCACCAGGACTCCGGGGTGACCGTAGTAGAGGATTGTCAGGAGACCCCGGCTCACCTGGATCTGCGCCCGGAAGTGTGGCAGCGGCTCCTGCAGCCTGGCACCACAGAGGTGCGCACCACAAGACAGAGCGACCTGCCAGGAGCTCCATCGCCACCTGCCGGCGCCTGGGTGGAAGTTCCGCAAGAAACCAAGGGTTGGCACGTCTGATGGGACATATAATAATTCGGAATTAGGGGCAAGGGACCAAGGTAAAATAGCTGGAGTTGGTAGGGCGGCAGGGGCTGTACAGAAAGATGAAAGAAAAGACGTTCAGGGAAATACTGTCCATTCTTAAAATTTATTAATTTTATTTCTTTATCTTTTATTTATTATTTTTATTTTATGCGTATGAGTGTATTGTCTGCATATGTGCAAGTGCACCGGTGTCGTGCAGTGCCTGTGGAGGTCAGAAGAAGGCGTTGGATCCCCTGGTACTGGAGTTGCAGATGGTTGTTAGCCACCATGTGGGAACTGGGTTTCGAACTCAGGTCGTCTGCAAGAGCAGCCAGTGCTCTTAACCACTAAGTCATCTCTCTAGCCCCCAAGTTTTTTAAATAAAAAAAGTATGTGTCCTGAGCGGGGTGGCACACGCCTTTAATCCCAGCACTCAGGAGGCAGAGGCAGGCAGATCTCTGTGAGTTCAAAACCAGCCTGGTCCACAGAACAAGTTCCAGGACAGCTGAGACTGCAGGGAGACCCTGTCTCAAAAAGACAAAAAATAATAATAATAAAGTATGTGTAAATCCAGAGTGGTGGCTCATGCCTTTAATCCCAGCATTCAGGAGGCAGAGTCAGGCAGATCTCTGTGAGTTTGAGGCCAGCCTGGTCTACATAGCTAGTTCCAGGCCAGTCAGGACTACATAGTGAGACTGTCTCAAAAGACCAAAAAAAAAAAAAAATGTGTATTGCAAGTGTGTGTCTGTGTATGTGGGCGTAGGCACCCTAGAGGCAAGAAGAGGGTGTTAAATGGAACTGAAGTTACAGGCAGTTGTGAGCCACCTGACATGGTGCTGGAAATTCAGGTCCTTTGCAAGTGCTGTACAGTCTTTTAACTGCTGAGCCATCACTCTAGCCCCACTATTCTTTTTTTAAGCTTTTAAAATTTATTTTGTGTATGAGTTTTTTGCCTGCCTGTATATAAGTGCAACATGTGTGTGCAGTGCTCACGGAGGCCAGAAGAGGGCATCAGATCCCCTAGAACTGGAGTTACAGATAGTTGTTAGCTGCCATGTGGGGGTACTGGGAACAAAACCCAGGTCCTCTGCAAGAGTAACGAGTGCTCTTAACCACTGAACTACCTCTCCAGCCCCTGCCTCTCTATTCTTGATTAAAATTAAGAGCAGGGCCTCTGGAGTAAAACTTGGCTAGGGTCCTAGCTCTGTGGACGACTCATGATTACTGGGCACTGTCAACTGTAAAATAACACTGGGCTGAGGAGATGGCTCCCCCATTAAAGTGCTCACCACACAAGCATGTAACGACTGGAGTTCAATTCCCCAGAAACCTACTTAAAAGCTGGGTGGGTGGGTATGGTGACCCACCTATAATTCCAGCCTGGGAAGGGAAGACAGGGGAATCCCCAGAGCAAGCTGGCTAAGCTAGACTAGCCATATTAGCCAGCTCTGGGTCTGACTGAGAGACCCTGCCTCAAATAAGGTGGAAGAACAATGAAGAGGGTGATTCTGAACAAGACATCAACCCCATCCCTCCACATGCATATGCCCATGCATCCACACACACACATGACCACACAGATGCAAAAATACGAATACACACATGAAAAAAATGAGAAAAGAAAAAAATACTGATTCTAAAGGACAGAATTTATCATTTCTGCTCTTAAAGCTGCTACCCATATCCTACAATAATCAAATTTAGAAAAGCAAATAATGCAATTTGAAAATGAACAAAGGATCTCTAGACATTTATATATATATATATATATATATATATAATTAACCATCAGAGAAGGTGCTAGAAATGCCACTTTAAATCCACTAGGCTAGCTATAAAATTCAGGAACTGAGGGTGCAACTAAGTGGTACAGTGCTTGGTTACCATGTCCAAGTTTCTGGGTTCAGTCTCCAGCACCAATGAAGACATAAGGGTAAGGTACGGTGGTTCATGCTTGTAATCCCAGGATTACAGAAGATTGAGGCAGGAAGACTGCTACAAATTCAAAGCCAGCCTGGACTACAGAGTAAGACCCTATCCCAAAAAAACAACACAAGAAGAATAAGATGATTGATCACAAGTATGGCAAGCATGTGGAAAAATTGGAACCTTCATGGACTGCTGGCACAGCAGTTTTGGAAAACAGGTAATTCCTCAGTTTTAACAGCTCTATTACCCAGCAATTTCACTCCTAGGTATATAGACAACTGTGATGGTTAGTGTTCTCAACTTGTCAGAATCTAACATCACCTGGGAGATGGGCTTCTGGGCTTACCTGTGGGGTTGTCTTGATTATGTTAATTGAAGTGAGGAGACCTGCCCACTCTGAGTGGCACCTTTCCCTAGGCTGGGGGTCCTGAACAGAGTAAAGAGAAAGCAAGCTGAGCATTAGCAAGTATTCATTCCTCTCCTGACTTCAGACTTAAAGTGATCAGCTGCTTCATGTTCCTGCCCCTACAGCTTCCCAGCCATGATGAACTGTAACCTGGAAATGTGAGTTAAATAAACCTTTTCCCTTAAGTTGTTTTTGTCAAGAGTATTTTATCACAGCAACAGGAAGAGAAACTAAGACACTAATATAAATGAAAACATGTCTTTAAATATACATTTTGGGGGTTGGGGATTTAGCTCAGGGGTAGAGCGCTTGCCTAGCAGGTGCAAGGCCCTGGGTTCGGTCCTCAGCTCCAAAAAAAAAAAAAAGAAAAAAAAACATTTAGGGAAAGCTGGGTGTGGTGGCACATGCCTTTAGTTCCTGCACTTGGGAGGCAGAAGGCAGGCAGATCACCGTGAGTTCAAAGCCAGCCAGGTCTATATAGCGAGTTCCAGGCCAGCTGGGGCCACAGGGAGACCCTGTCTCAAAAAAGAAAAACAAAAAAGGGGTAATATTTATATATCCTATAAGTATTTTTATTTAGGGCTGGAGAGTTGGCTCAGTGGTTAAGAACACTGGCTGCTCTTGCAGAGGACCTGGGTTTGGTTCCCAGCACCCATATGGTGGCTAACAACTGTCTGTAACTCCAGTTCCAGGGGCTCTGACAGCCCCTTCTGACCTCCATGGGCACTGCACTCATGTGGTACATATATGCGGGCAAAATACTGATACACATAAAATAAAAATAAAAGTTAAAAAAATACATCTAAGGGCTGGGTGTCGTGGCACATGCCTTTAATCCCAGCACTCAGGAGGCAGAGGCAGGCGGATCTATGAGTTTGGGGCCAGCCAACTCTACATAGTGAGACCTTGTTTCAAACAAATAAAACTAAATAAACCTCTTAGATCAATGTTAATAGCATTATTTGTAATTCCCAAAAGATGAAAACCCAAATGTCTATTACTGATGAATGGATAAACAAAATCTGGTGTATGTATGCAATAGAATATTGGGTGTAGGGAAGGAAAAACTGTTCTAAAATTGTGGTGGCCACACAAAATCTGGGACTATACTAAAATTATTATTTTTATCTTGTTGAGACAGGGTCTCCCTGTAGCCCCAGCTGTCCTGGAACTCACTATGGAGACCAAGCTGGCCTTGAACTCACAGAGATCCGCCTGCCTCTGCCTGGGATTAAAGGCATGCACCACCACACCCTGCTAAAATTATTTTTTGTGTGTGACAAGTTCTCACTGTGTAGCTCTGACTGGCTTAAACTCGGGGTGGCTTTGAACTCAACAGAAATCTGCCTGCTTCTGCCTTCCGGGTGCTGGGATTAAAGACTTGCACTACCATACCCAGCTTACTTTTTAAATTTTACCTTTAAAATGGGTTAGGGAGTAAGGATGTAGTTCAGTTTTCAGAGTGCTTGCCTAGCATGCATGAAACCCTGGATCAGATCCCCAGCACAGCACAAAACCTGGCATGATTGCACATATCTGTAATACTGGCACTTGGGAGGTGAAGGTAGGAAGATCAGAAGTTCAAGGTCATTCTTGGCTAGATAGCTAGTTTGAGGTCAGCCTAGGATATATAAGACACTATCTCATAAACAACAAGAACTAGCTACCTAACTAAATAAAAGTATAACATAAAATGGGTAAGTTGGCTGAGTATGGTGGCCCATGCCTATAATTTCAGCCCTTGGGGAGGCTAAGGCAGCTGGATATCAAGTGTAAGGCCAGCCTGGGCTACAATTAGAGAACCCATCTCATGACACAAAATGATTAAGTTGTATGGTATGTGAATTGTATTTCAGTAGTAAAAATGAACAAACAAACTCCAACAATAAAAAACAAAACCCTTTCTTTTGATTCTTAGTAAATGTGGGACCCATACAAGAGTTCTACAAATTTACACATTAGCTTCTCGCCCCAAAGTTTGTCTAGCTGCCAGTTCTTTGCTTCTGAACTCTGTTCCCGCCACAGCAGTTCTTTGCTCGTGTTTGTAAGCTAAATATGTTCTGCCTCTGGGTATAAGCTCCTGACAGCTTCACTTTCAGAATGGGTCACTCTCTCCTCCTTGATATCCAAACTCAAGTATAATTATTAGTGAGATTTCTTGGAACTCTCAATTTATTACAGATCTTCCATCAGAATATTTATGACAAAAAAAATTGTGGGGCTAGAGAGATGGCTCAGCGGTTAAGAGCACTGACTGGTCTTGCAGAGGACCCGAGTTCGATTCCCAGTACCCATATGGTGGCTAAGAACTGTCATTAATTCCAGTTCCAGGGAAATCTGATGCCCTCTGCTGACCTCCACGGCATTGCAGGACATGGATGTACTCACATACATGCAGGCAATACACTTGTACGTATAAAAAATATTTTTAAAAAATTGTATAATGTGCATGTGCGCGTGCCATGGTGTATGTGTGGTTAAAGGACAACTTTGGGTGTTGGTTCTTTCCTTCTTTTACATGAGTTCCAGAGACTGAACTCGGGTCATCAGGCTTGCAAGAGAATGTACCCACTGAGCCATCTTTCTTGCTCCATTTATGACTTTCTATCACTGTGTGCTTCCTTTTATTCCATACCTGACCTTGGACTCTGAAAGCAGACACACCACTGAGGTTCAATTTTATTGTTGCTGCTTTGCAACAAGGTCTCACTATGTACTCCAAGCTGGCCTTGAATTTACAATCCTCCTGCTTTAGGTCCCAAGTGTTGGGATTACAGGTATACACCACCATGACCAGCTCTCAATTGCTTTCATAAAACCCAATTGTATCTTATTATTCAATTTGGTACATCGTAATTTCTTTTCTTTTTGAGACAGGGTCTCTTTGTAGCCCCAACTGGCCTAGAACTTGCAATGTAGACCAGGCTGGCCTCAAACTCACAAAGATCCCACCTGCCTCCCGCTCCTGAGTTCTGAGATTAAAGGCATTTATCACCATGCCCAGCAGTAAAGGTTTTAAATGAATGAGAAATCCCCTCAGCCCCTTAAGACCCTTAAAGCACTTAGCAGTACCACCCTGCCAGGGCAATCCTCTTTTCCAATGGTTCCTTCATATACCTACCTTGGACATACATCATCACTTAGCAGAAACAGGACTGCACTCCCCAGTAGTTCGGCAGCCATGTTGTTAGTCTGTCTACGCTGCTGATTACTCTTTTTAAAATTTTAATTATTTTTATTATTTATTTATTTTTTGGTCTTTTTGAGACAGGGTCTCCCTATAGCCCCAGTTGTCCTGGAACTCACTATGTAGACCAGGCTGGCCTTGATCTCACAGAGATCTGCCTGTCTTTGCCTCCCAAGTGCCAAGACCACGGACATGCGCCACCACACCCTATTTTTATTTTATGAATGTTTTTTAAATTTTTTTTATGTATACGAGTGTATTGCCTGCATGTGAGTGCACCCATGTCGTGCAATGCTGTGGAGATCAGAAGAGGGCTTCAGATTCCCCTGGAACTTGAGTTAAGGATGGTTTGTAGCCACCATGTGGGTGCTGAGAATCGAACCCGGGTCCTCTGCAAGAGCAGTCAGTGCTCTTAACCGCTGAGCCATCTCTCCAGCCCCTTTATGAATGTTTTTTGTATGCCTACTTCTAAGTGCACCAGTGCATGCAATGCCCATGGAGGTCAGAGGAGAGCATCAGATCCCCTAAAACTGGATATATAGATGGCTGTTAGCCACCATGTGGGTGCTGGGAATGGAACCTAGGTCCTCTGCAAGAGCAGACATAGATCCCCTCCCTGCTGGGTTCTCTTGAAGAAAGAAAGGATGAACTCACTTTACATGTTCACTCTTGCTCATGGAAGATCAGCTCCCAACACCTAACAAGACTGGAAGTGGACATCCAAAGAAACACCAGTGATTTTCCTAGTTTCATTCCCCAATCAAAGAGGACAATTTCCAATTTGCCATGGGTAAGTTTATTACATGATTAGTAAGTTCAAATAAAAAAATAAAAACTAGAATCTTGGCAGTAAGGCGAGGGACAGAATCCAAGAGTGGTGTTCCTTGTCCCCAGACTCCCTGGCCAAGCCATCTTCACTAACTGAGCTTGACTCGATCCAGTTCCTCAAGACCTGCATCTGTGCCCTGGACATCTCTGCTGCTCCCGCTGGAGACTGAGTTCTGGACTCCTGACACTGGGGCTTTGGTGAGGGCCCCATATACACCCATGGCCTGAGGAGAGGGATAGAGAGAGAAAAAAAGTAACATGAGGATACCTTTGCTGTGTACCTGTGTTGTGTAATGCCCATAGAGGTCAGAGGAGAGTGTCAGATTCCCCTGGAACTGGAATTATAGGGGCTTGTTAGCTGCCATGTGGGTGCTGGGAATCAAACCTGGGTACTCTGCAAGAGCAGTCAGTGCTCTTAATCACTGAACCATCTCTCCAGCCCCAAACAGCCTTTCTTTCTCTCTTTCCCTCCCTCCCTTTCTCCCTCCCTCCCGCCCTCCTTTTTTCTTTTTGAGACAGGGTCTCATGTAGCCCAGTCTAGCTTCTAATTTGTGATCTTCCTGCCTCTCCTGAATGCTGACATTACAAGCATACATCATCAAACCAGCCCCTTGTTTTTTCAAGCTTGGTCTTAGAAGGTTTACAGTCAACTTTAAGAATCTTACTATCCAACAAACATACTCAGGACACTGACACATTTATCTATAGAAGGAAAGTTAAGAGCTGTTTTATCTGAAGGGAAGTATTTCACTCTTAGAATCTCTACAGGCAATGAATGGAAGTCTAGGGCCAAAGCACTCTGAAGACCTCTAGGTGTACAAGTGTTGACGAATGGGTGGGTCTTAGCCCCTAGCAATGCTACTGTGTGTTCTTCCCCAAAGATATCTAACCTGAGCCACCATACTGGTGACATCGCTGGGATTAGAAGGCAGTAGGATTGTGTTGGAATCCTTGGCAAGTTTGGAGAATGCGCTGACATACTGCTCAGCCACAGTCAATGAAGCTGCTGCATCGCCATTCTGTTGTCACAGGGGAATCAAATCAGACCACAGATTTGGCAAGGGCGGACAAAGGTCAGGTTCCCACAAAGAGGGTATATAAATCATAACAAAAAGCTCATGTAATCTGTCTAATGGAGCCCATGATGTCAGGAACTCTCCACAATTTATTTCTAGCCCCCATTCCCACCCACAAGCCTCTCACATGTTGAGTTAGAGCTGCAGCCAGGATTCGAATAGCTTCAGCCTTGGCCTTGGCCTTGGCCAGAACTGCACTGGCCTCTCCTGGAACAAAAAGATAGTTGGAGCCATGAAATCAGAGTACTCCGAAGCTCCTGTCCCAGCACTAATCTTCAAAGACCAGTACCCTACTCCTCCCTCAGCCTCTACCCTCTGCTCACCTGCCGCCTGATTTATTTGTTCAGCCTTTTCTGCTTCAGATGCCAGGATCTGGGCCTGTTTCTTCCCTTCTGCCACATTGATGGCTGACTCACGGGTCCCTTCAGACTCTAGAACTGTGGCCCGTTTCCGCCGCTCTGCCTCTACCTGGAGCCCCAACAACCCTCATGAACAAGAAACCAGGGGAAACTCTAACTAAGACCTACAGCTTTATTTATCACTGTAGGGGAGTCCAGTTCCACTGGGATTAGAATACACAGCAGTTCTTTTCCCTACCTGCATCTGCATGGACTCTTTCACCCGGGGTGGCACATGGATATCCTTTATCTCATAACGCAGGCAGCGAATACCCCAGCAGTCAGCAGCCTGGTTGATGGCATCCACAATGTTGGCATTCAAGGACTCCCGCTCCTACAGTAAGAGAAATGTGAGCAGCACAAGTCAACATAGAGGGTGCCTAAACTGAGAAGGGCCTGAGACTAATCTTAATCCCCAGAAAAGACTTGACAGGACAAACCATGTGTCCTCAGACCCTAATTCAAGCCCAGATCTGCTTACCCGGAAAACTTTGTCCAGAGAGAGCTTGCCAAGCTCTGATCTCATAGTTGTTTGAGCTAGCTGGGTGACAGCATACTCGGGGTCCTCCACACCATAACTTGCCTGAAAGGGGCATGATAGCATAAGAAACCCGAATGCAATATTTCAATAAGGAGCGATTCAGAAAGCTGAAGAAAGCACTGGGCATCTACCTTGTAAGGATCCATAATACGCAGGTAAAGGACTCCATCTATTTGCAAAGTTACATTGTCTGCAGGAGCAAAAAAAAACAAGAGAGAAAAGGAGGGAGGTCAGGACTTTAGGTCCCAACCAACTCTTTCTCCTAAGCCATGATCTATAGCAAACACATCCTGAAAGCTCAGAGCGCCCCTGCCACCCTGTATCCCTCACCAAGAGTCACAGCCGACTGCTCAGGCACGTTGATGACAATTTCCTTGAGACTTTGCACGTATCGGATCCGGTCTAACACTGGGATGAGGACGTTCAAACCCTGGGAAGAGGAGTCATAGGTCCTCAGAAGAATGGGAGTGATAAACTTGAGATCTAAGCTAGGCCTGGAATAAGCACCAAGCCACATATGGAACATGCCCAGAAAAGCAGTAGCTCCTACTAAGAGATGTCCTCAAGGCATAGGGTGTCACTGATAGAGAAATCTAAGGCACAAGAATGACAGAAAGGCTAGGCCTCTGAATGTCAACAGAATGAGAGCCAGCAAGAATAGCCATCTCCAGGCAGACAGGTGGAACAGAGAGATTGGGTCGTAGTAAGGAAGGAGCCTGTAGGATACTAGGGTAATAGGAAAGGGAGGCAACAAGGGTGTGATGATAGGAGACTGGGCCCTGACAGGACTGGCCCCAGGAGTCCAGGGCCAACGCTGCAAACAGGCTCCAAGGAGGTCCCACTACCGTTAAGAGTGTAAAATCTGAACATTTGGTGGCTGGAGGTAGACAGAAGGGGTTCTCACAGGTTCCAAGATCCGGTGGAAGCGGCCCATTCGCTCCACCACCCAGGCCTCCTGCTGAGGAACAAACAGTACCACGGTGTTTCGGGGCAACCCGGAGGAGGCACGGCGCGGAGCCTGCACAGAGCCCTGGAGAAAGATAGAGGGGGCTGAGATACCGGCCGCGCAGCACCCCACCCCTCCATCCCGAGGGCATCCCCCAAATCGCGACCCTCCAGGGTCCCCGGAGACGGACTCACGAGGGGCCCATGATCTCTGACCCCAGTCCTTTCGCAAAGTTGGAATCCCGTCCCGTCCCAGCCGAGGGCCCAGGTGACCTCTGTCCCGACCCTCGGAAGAAGGGTGCCTCGCTCTCACCCTCAGCAAAAGGGCTCCCGTGCCCCGCGCCGCGCGCGCCAGCATTTCCTAAAGCCTCAGCGACCTCCTCCGGAACCAACAAGACGCGGGGCAGAGCGGCCTCGCTAGCCGAAACCGGAGCCTTTCCTTCTGCCGGTCCACGCCCCCCAACGTACTTCCGGCGTCTCTTCCTCCATTCCACACTCAACCAATCCGCGTTACTCGGGTGTGTGCGCGTCAAACCGTTCCCTGGGAAACGTAGATGCTGAAGACAGAGCCCGGGGCCCAAGGCTTCTTCTGGTTCTAGAGAACCAAGATCTTGGGCAGGGTGGTAGGAACGGAGGCAATATTCGGCCTGCAAATGGCCCAGAAACACCTCCCACCGAGTACTTTATACTTGTGACTCAGTTTACTTTCCAGCTCATACAGTTGCCTCCATCAGTCACCATAACGACCAGTGAATTGGCGCTGACTCGTTGCCATGGTTTCCAGTGACTTTCTCTGGTAGTCATGCTGTTGTGCCCAGCCCTCCCACTGGGAACTGACCCCATTCCTGTTGCCATGGTAACTAGGCCTAACTGCCTGAGGATTAAGCTAAGATTTCCCCCTCCCTTCTTTCCTTTCTCCCAAGGCATCAACAGCTCTTTTCCACATCTTCGGTCAGGTCTAGTCCCTTTACATACAGAGTCCATCAAAGAGCCTCAACCTTTTTATCCAGAGCATGTCACCTTGCATGGTCGCTGGTGCTCTCTCTGGCACATTCTTTAAGAGGTCTGTATCATCATCATCATTCTTATTTTACATATAAAGACACTGAAGTTCTGAGAGGCTAAAGACATTTACAGATCCAGTATAAGAATTCAGCTCCTCAGAGTTTAGTTTTTATCTATCGCTGAACCCAGCACCTTTACTATCTTAAAAAGAATAAGATCATGCTCCAATAATCCACCTGACCTAGCCTAAGATTTCAAGAGTTCCAGCCTGCTGCTACCTCTTCAGAAAGAGCAGAGTCCTAGCTCCAATTAGACCCTCCATATCCATTCACACATCCTCTAACAGAGAAGAAAGTAGACCTTAGTTCAAGTCTCCAAACAAGAATTTATTCTTTTTAATTTTTTTTCTAAAAAAAATGTACCAGGTACAATTTTTCCTGTTTTTGTTTTGTTTTTTCAAGTTTCAGCAAATGCTTGTTCCCCTCTGCCAAGCCCCGAGAGTTAAGGGCTGAGGCTGAGTCAGAGTCTGGAGTGGAGAATGGGGTAGTTGGGAACCACATGACTGAGTTTGAGGGGTGCCCCTCATCCCAGCTGAGGTAGGTGGGTCAGAGTCTGGCCAGGTGAGAGGAGGCACCCCAATCCTTAGCCCTGACTCTGTCCCTGGAAACCTTCCTCAGTCAGGACCCCAAAGTAAGGAGACACAGGCAAGAGGAGAGGGACAACTGAGTCTGAAGCCCTAGGTGAGGGGTGTTTAACCCCTGTGTGTGTGCATACATGCACTTTCTCTCTCACAATATCCCACACAAACAAGTTTGTGCAACACACACACACACACATACACACACACAAATTGGCTTTCAAAGATGGGTCAGAGGATAGGGGAGGTAAAGGAAATAGGGAAGAACAAGGGAAGCTGAGTCTTTGGCTAGTGACTCAGTCCCTCTGCCATAAACCCTCTGCCCCTAGACAAAGGAAAGCAGTTCTCCCCTCCCCCCAACATCAACCTCTTCAAGTCCTGAGAGGTTGGAGCAATATCTGAGAGTAGGGTGATGCCAATTATCAGGTTTGGGAGGTTACCAAGGCAATCCAATTTGAATAAATTATAAATTAAAAATAAATAAAATAATAAGTGGCCCCTGCCCAGGACAGGGAGGCAACACTGGCATGACTTGCCTGGGTACATGGGACAATCTCAGGGTAGCTCTGGTTCCTCCCTACTACCCAAGCTGGCCTGGGAAACTCAAAGGGAGGGGACAGGCACATGGAGTACCCAGAGTAGACAGGATATGGAAGGATCAGAAGCTTTAAACACCCAAATGATGGATTTGGGTATGAGCATGGCGAGGACTTTAATTCAAACCTAAGGGGGCTCTCGCCATTTCTCCACTGTTTACCCTGTCCAGGATGGAACGGAATAGGCGAGCTTTTGGCCCATCTAGGTTCAGAATGCTGGCAATCAGGGCAAAGGTGAATAACGTGGATTATGGGGGGCCTCAGTCACAGCCTGCAGTTCATAGGGGAGCCCTGTGTCCAGCTCCAGGCTCCGGCGGGAAAAAAGCAGGCGGATATCTCCATGCAGGCTTAAGCGGCCTGAGCGGGAGCTCCGGAACCTGGGGGAAGACAGTGTGATCCAAGTAAGTATCCAGACAGTAGAGAAGAAGGGAGAGATCCTGTTTAGGGAGAGGACAGATACCCGAGCCTCCTCAGCTCTCCCAGGGTTCTTTCCTCACCTGAGGTGCAGCAAGTAGCAAAGGAGGCGGTGGGTGGGGCTAGCATTTCCCTCTTCACCCACAGGCACCAAAAAGAGGCGATGGCGCAGGAAGGTTATGTGGGCAGCAGGCATGTCCGAGAAATCAAAGGTCACAAGGAACATCTTCACCACAGTCTGATTGGGGTTAAATAAGGTCTGGGAGGCAGGACAATCAAGGTTGGTAGGGCCTAGGGCCTGGTTTTTCCTCTCTTCCCACACCCACTCCCTTAGGGCAAACTCACCACTTGGATGGTGCCCATCTTGGGCACACTGTAACCCTTCCTCCCCAAGGGATTCAGGTCCACAACACCCTAGGAAGATCAAGAACCATTAACCAGGTAGAACTAGGAAAGTCCTGAACACTAAATGCTGAATCTCTACAGTCTGTCACCTTGGACTTGTTCCTACCCCATACTAGAATTTTGCTCACCTGACCCTGACTCACTCTTTGGTGAAAAACAAATACCTTTTGCTACTCCCTCTGCCCCTAATCCCTCAGAGGCAATTTTGAGATTACATCATACCAAGAAGGGGGCCGGGGCATTTTGCTCAGAAACATCAAAGAAGGTGACAGTGACAGGCAGTGTGACATGCTGGGGGCAGTAAGACCCACTGGCTCCAATCTCTGCAGTAAAACCTTCAATGTGGCCGGATGGTGCAAAGCGTCCTCGAAGTAACGACTCCTGGTGTTAGGGTGGGGTAGACATATTTTGAGAGTGATGCTGCTTCTTTTCCTATTCATCTGAGCCCCATTCCAGCATCCCATTCCTCCCAAGAGCTGGGTGTGGTGGCAGACGCCTTTAATCCCAGCACTCCAGAGGCAGAGACAGGTAGATCTCTGTAAATTGCAGGCTAGTCTTCTGGTCTATAGAATGAGCTCCAGACCAGCCAGGGTTACATAGTAAGATCCTGTCTCAAAACAAATAAACCCAAAACCATTCCTCCCAGGAATCCTCAATCATAAAGCCCAAGAGGAATTACCTCAAAGTTGCCCAGCAGGGTACGGCTGGCAGCAGGGGTAGGAATGGGGGAGGCACTGGGGGTGCTCAGCAGGCCTGGCCCCTTCCGGAGGCTTCGAAGGGAGCTCCTGGTAGGAGAATGGACACATGGTGGGTTGGCTGGAGTATTCTGGGTATTCCTGTTTCCAGTCCTTGGGCTCCCCTACTATAATGCTGGAAAGATTACAGACTCCTGCCTTCACTTTCGAGTACAGGGTAGAGGGAGAAACTAGTCACTTACAGCTTCAGGCGACGGGCACCTTTCAGCCTCTGCCCCATGGAACTGCAGTCTGTTGGGTCCTATGGAGAGAAAAGATTAGAAAAAGAGAATGGATGGAGGCCAGGTGTATTCTGGGCCAAGGATTCACCACAAGTTCTCAAAAACACATCTCTGGAGCCCGGTGTGGTGGCACATGCCTTTAATCCCAGCACTTGGGAGGCAGAGGCAGGTGGATGTCTCTGAGATCAAGGCCAGGTGGGTCTACATAATGAGTTCCAGGCCAGCTGGGGCTACAGAGAGACCCTGTCTCAAAAAGACAAAACAAAACCAGAAGACTATAGATATATCTCAATTGGTAGCATGCCCAAAACTCCAGGTTCAATCCACACCACCATAAAAAACAGGTGTAGTAGGACATGCTTTTTATAATCCCAGCATTGCACTTAGAAGGTGGAGGAGGCAGAAGGATGAGAGGTCATCCTCAGCTACATAGGCCAGCCTGGAATACATAAGACCCTATCTGGGGAGAAAGTTAAAAAAAAAAAAAAAGAGTAGCTAAGTTTGTCCCCTGGCTTACCAAAACAGGTTCCTTGGGCCCAGGCAGCAGGTGGCTCCAGAAAGGTGTGGCTTTGGCATCAGAACTGTTGGCAGCAAGAGGGTGGCCCAGGGTTCCCCGGCGCCTCCGAGGGGCTGGCCCCTCATCCTCAGAGCTGACATCTGGGGCTTCTCCAGCAGGCAGCAGCCTTCGCTTGGTGGGGCAGGGGCCTGGAGGTCCAGGGCCAGGGGGGGTGTGCTCGGGACTGTGCCCATTGGCAGTGCCAGGGGATTCCCTAGGCCAGGGGCTGCTCCCATTGCCCACCCTGGCCACTGGGCTTTTACCCCCTATTTGTGCAAGATTGTGCAAATCAGTGTCAAGTGTGTGCAGCTGGCCTGAGGGGGCTGGCCCCGGAGACTGCCCCAGGTACCCCTGTCCTCCTTGATCTGGAATAGCCCAGTCTCTGGTGTGCAAAGTATTGCAGGAAGCATTTGATGGGGGCCAGGAGGGACTCTGGGCCCCTGAAGTCCAAGGTGAGGTAGCACTACCTCCCCGTTCCACAACACAGAGGCCATGATGGGAGAAATGCTGGCTGGCCACACCCAGTCCTAGTCCCAGTCCCTCTGGGCTTAGTAGCCCCACAGTAGATGGTTCTTCGGGGGGTAGTCCCTCTCTGTTCCCCAGCCCAGGACCTCTCTTCAGCTCCCGGGGACTCTCAGTGGAAGCTGGCCGCTTCAGAACCCTATGAGGCTCAGAGGCACCAGCTGGAGGGGAAAAGATGGATACCTGGTAGACCCCGGGGTTTGTAGCCCCCCCTGCTGGGCTGTAGCCCATGAGCAGGCCACCCTGAAGGGCCCCCTGTCTGGCTGGAGGCTGTGATGGGCCAGCCTCTGGCTCTGAGGATGGAGACGGCTCCTGCACGTGGCGCATGAAGCCCCTCCTTGGGTCAGGGGGGGCCCCCCCCACGGCCTTTATGCTGGGCCTGGGCTGGGGGGCCTGGGGACATCTGCAGAAAAGAAGAAAATGTGATCAGGGGACTCAATGACTCTTCTTTCTTCTAGCTGCATTTCAGACCCTCCCCTTGCCTTAACAGGTGACCTTGAATGGTTCCTGGAGGTAAAGATATCCAAATCCCTGGATTGATTAATGGAAGGAATTCAGAGGCTACTCTTAGAACTCCTGAGAGGGGTACATATTTAGCTCAGGATTCTTACTGGACTTGCCACCCCCTTCTTCTTCTGGGAACTTACTCCGATGAAGAGGCCTCAAGCCTAGGCGTGTGTCGCCTTTTCCTGTCTGATGCCTTGCTCCTCTAGCTTGCAGTCTGGTCCATGCCTGCTGCACTGGCAAGGTGACTGCCACCATTCCGTGCAGCTCCTGGGCTCAGCTGGACCCTGGGGAGAAAAGAGAAAATATAAGGCAGGATCCCTATAGGCAATGAAAAATCCCTCCCCTAATATGGGTTAGTAGCACATACTACTCCAGGCAGGACATCCTCCTCCCTTGTGACCAGCTCTTTCAGAAACAGAAGGGGCAGGATCAAGATCCAGGGCCCACAGAGCAGAGTCAGGCTACCTGAGGAGTCAGAGAGAGGCAGGGCTTGGCTGAATGCAGTAAGGATGTGAGAAATGAGTTGAGGCAGGATGGACCATATGTCAGGGACACCATCTTCGGAACCGGTCCTGATAAAAGGGGGATGAGATGCCCCCACAATCCAAGATACCACACCAGCTAGCAGGTGGATGGGATAGTAATTGACCTTTCTTACTCAAGGCTACCCAGTTGCACAACTCCTTCCCATATGCCTATTTCCAGAGGGGCAAGTGCCACCCAGAGTGCTAAGGGCAGAGGTCTTACACAGTCACACCCCATCATATACTCCTCGGAGGTACAAACCTCAAGTCAGCTCCAAGCCAGTCCTTCATCCTTGAACTCCCAACTGCCCCCAGCAATCAGGCTTTTTAACAAGAGACAACAAATCTAACCAAAAACAAGTGGTGGGAGGAGGAAACACTGTCAGAGGCACTTTCTAGGTCTCACCCCTCCCCCAAGGCCCTGCAAACTAGCGATAAGGAAGCAGCAGGCAGTCAACTGGAAACAACTAGAGTATCTCTCTGTTCCTTCCCCTCCCCCAGTGTACAACCAATACCTAAAAAACCTAAACCATTGCTTTCCTGTCAGGACACAAAATGATCTTCATGGACCAGTCCACCATCATAAACCAATTAGAGTGATGACATTGTCAAGTTGAAGGCCAGCTGCCTCCACAGTCAGCCTTATTTGGTCAGAAGTCTGTGCTGCCTCACTACCTACCCACAGTGCCCTTTAGCCAGGCGAGTGGGCTTACTTTATAATGCTAGAGGCTGAGGCAGAAGTATCTTGAATTTAATACCAGATTAACTAATTTTATGAGATCCTGCCTCAAAAACAAAACCACAAAAAACAAGGTTGGGCATGGTGGCACAAACCTGCAATCTAAGTAAGAGAACCAGGTGTTCAGCCTTACAGAGTTCAAGGTGAGCCTGGACTATATAAGACCCTATCTCACAAAAAGAAAAAAACAAACCCCAACCAAACAAAACAGTACTCTTTCCCATTCAAGAAACATCCTTTATATGCCTACCCAAGCTCTACTCCTTATCCTTGGCTAGCCACAGGCCGCCCCTTCCAAAAGGTTTGCTCTTCAACCCAGAACAAAATATATCTCTTCTGACACTTCTAGATGACAGTGTCACTCCCTCTAGTAACCCGGTGATATTTCTGTTCACTTGGGATCAGAGAAGAGGTCTGTGTTTCTTTCTCTGCCCAATTCCAAGCACAGGAGAAATCACATAACAAGGCTCAGATAAAGTGACTGCAAGCCCTAGTGATCTGGGCAGCAGTCCTGACAGTGCAGATGAGAAGCAGAGAGATTAATTGCACAGGGAGAATTTCAACAGCAGATGTGGTGGTGGGAGGCAGAGACACATTTCTATAACAATTATTCCCATCATTGCAGTCCATACTTTCCCATTTCAACTGGCCCTCTTTAGAACCAAAATCCCTAAGAAAATTCTGGTCCTTTGTGGTGGGTGGGGTGGCTGGAAAGGACAGTGTTGTCTGAGGGTACAACCTGTCCTCACTTCTACCCCTCCTAGTCTCCACCCAAACCTTACAAGTTCAAGAAGGGCCTTTTCCTTAGAGTCCCAATTTCCAGGTCATTCAAGTTGCCCTTTTGAGCCACTGCCTGGAGGAAGCTAGGTGATGACGCCATGCCCTACTTGACCCCAGCGTGCCTAGCATCTTCTCATTAACCTAGAGCTGTCTTAGTTCCTGCCCTGTCAAAAGACACTGTAAGCCTCCCTGCCCTGCCATACAGCCAGTCTAGCTTTGGACCATGGCTTCAAGCTGACTCATGGGGCAGAACCAAGATATGCCAAACCTCATCCTCCATGCAAGAGATGGGCAGCAGCTGGCATTAAGCAGCTGTGCCAGGCTTTGGCTGCCAAGGACTACAGCTCCCAACATGCCAAAGGAGCAAGGCCAGCTAAAACAACAAGTCCCAGAATACCATGGGGTCTGTACTCTCAGATACTTGTTAGGCCTGGGAGGTGGGAGAGGTTCTGGTATAGGAAGAGCACCTAGGCTCAGTCTTTCCTCTCCTTCAGTATTAAAGATACCAATTTTTAAACTGACTAAGAGGGTTCACAAGAAGAATTCCTATCCATGTGCTGCCACTTTCATTCTGTGCGGAGTCCTTCTGCTTGCTGCTCAGTTTTGTCCTCACACATGTCCACAACATACAAGGGTGACTGTTCCCACAGACCACCACTGTGAGTAGGAAAGTCAGTCTCTGCTTTCACCCACCCTTCTGGCCCCTAGCCTAGAGCCCTTCACCCATAATGGAGAGGGAGTAGACCTCAGCAAGCCCTCCAAACTAAGTCGGGTAGACTCACCTTGGCTCCTGGACTCCTTGTTCTGGACGATCCCCCACCCCCTTCTTAGCCTCCCAGGTTCGTTCTCACTCCTTTCCTCTTCACAGCCTGGGACAGGCCCCATACCCTGCTGGAGCTTTGAAGATCTGCTCTTTCCCCCTAGCACACACTCACCCCGCTCCCAAATTGGCTCCGCTGCAGTGGCCGCTGCTCCGGGCCCTTCCGTCCCGTCCCGTCCCCTCCCCTTGGATCCCCAGTCCTCCCTGCCTCGGGGCCCCCAACCCAGACAAAGGGTGGCTTAGGCTGAGAGCCTTGCTCTGCTGGGTTCTTCTCTGATCAGCTTCGTGTGCAACACTAGCGGACTCTGGCGTCCGCAGCCCCCCCAGCCGCTGCTGTACCCCTCCCCGCGACAGTCCCTCCCCGGGGCCGCCCCGGCTCCGCGCCGCAGACTCCGCTGCCCCTCTGACTCACAGGCCATTTCCTACCAGCTGATGGGGCCGCCCGCCCCGCCCAGAGCCCCGCCACCCCCGCCGCTGCGACCACGGCCGCCACGCCCCCCTCTGGCCACACCCCCAGGGCAACAACCGTGCTCATTGGCCCAGAGGAGGCCAGCCTCTCAGCGACCGCAGGCGTGAGTCACGCCCTCTCCAAGGGGCGCACGCCTATTGGTCCACATAAGGGCAGGCCTACCCAATGGCGCCCCGCCCATCTCCTTAACCCTTCTTCTGCAAAAGTCCAAAGCAAAGCTGCCCTGCCATTTAACCCCTTCAGGCTAAAGCCTACTACCTCTCAACCCTCCTCCCCCACCCTTCCTGTTCTGAGGCAGACTAATAGGAAGCGCCAGAGCTTTTATAGGCACAGCTCAACCCCTAAAGTCAGTCTACTCTTTTCATACCAAACCCAACCCTAAATATCCCCAAGCCCATTCATCTCTCCCCACATTCCAAAGCAGAGCTCCAAAGTAGGGGATTGTTGCAACCCAGGAGGCTCCCTACAGTCCAGAGCAGAAGAAAAAGACCTAAAGTCATACCTTATCTCCATTCATTCTGAGAGATGGTATCCTTTCTTTAATGTTTTTTGTCTTTGTTAGATCACAGGGCTCCGGAGATAAGGATATATTTTAATTTCAGGGACTCAGATCTTATTCTCTGTAGCTCTACATTATTCTCAGGTCAGGCTGTCTCATCCCTCAAGCTAGCACTCTGCTCACAGGCCCCTGCTCTGTTCAAGGAGGCAGAGCATCCTAGGTAAGGGCTTCTGCCCAGAGTAAAGGAAATGAACCCAACTCCTGCGATGGTGCTCATCTTATGACTCACAGCTCCCTCGAAACTCACCACCCTCTCCCTGAGTCACTGGGCCCCAGGCCCAGGCCAGATTCAGCCAAATTAAGTGGCAATAGAATCAGCATCCCTAACCTTTGTCCTCTTACTCTGTAAATAGCCAGGATGAAAGGTTTGAATAGTCACAGCCATTTTTTAGAGGGACTGCTTTAGAGATAATCTAAGAAAATGTGCAGCCCTGTCTACCTTGTCCTCTGAACTTGTCAGCAAGTCAGACAGCCTTTTCTCCATCATCCTCAGAATCAGGAAACTCCAGAATCAAAAGAAGTAAAGTTCATTCTCTCATCATTTGGAGGCCACATAAGACTCCAAGGTTCTTGTTTCTGCTATACCTATGTTGTGAGTGCCCCAGGATCATCAGTTTATTGCTGGACAGTTAAAGGAGATTTCCCTCCCTTACTTCCTTTTTGTGTGCTACAATTAGATACAAGCAACAACAGTTCTAGGCTTCCTTCTCCTTACCTCTGAGGAGTGGGAAAACCTTAAAAAAGAACCCAATCGGCTGGAGAGATGACTCAGTGGTTAAGAACACTGACTGTTCTTGCAGAAGACCTGGGTTCAAATCCCAGCACCCACATGGCAGCTAACAACTGTTGGTAACTCCAGTCCCAGGGGATCCGACAGCCTCTTCTGTCCTCCGAGGGCATTGCACAACACGGGTGCACTTACCTACATGCAGGCAATACACTCATACACATAAAAATATAAAAATAATAAAAAATAATGAATAAAACATTTTTTAAAAGAACTCAATCCCTATAGACTGACTTCCCTACTGGTTCTCTAATGCAAAGGAGCAGGATGAAGAAAATTTTCAAAACCCTAGCAAAATTCCAGTATAGCAATATAAGAACTGATTTGCCTCAGCAAAGACTTCCTAGGAAGACAGAAAAAGACCTAGAATATTGTAGAAAACAAGAAACCCTTAGCCACCTTGTTCTGTCTTACTGCTACTACCATACATCCTGGTGTTAGTTTTCTATAAAGATCTTGGGGACAATAGTAAAGGTGGGGGGATCAAAGATGTTCCATTCCATAGTACACCCTGGGGAAAGTAGCATTGCACAATCATGTATGAGGTCATACCCAGTTGCCCTTATGAGTGTACCTTGCATTTTTGTTGTTCTGATTTTTAGAGACAGGTCTTACTATGTAACCCAGGCTGGCCTTGAATTTTTGATCCTCCTTAGCCTCTGGAGTGCTGGATTACAAGTTATTGGGGAGGGGGTATTTGTTTTGTTTTGTTTCTTTGAGACTAGAGTCTCATGTAATCCAAACTGGACTATAATTCCTGTCCCTCTGCCTGTGGCTCTGGAGTGCTGGGATTACAAGTATGTATCACTAGGCACAGCCTAACTTTAAAAAAAAAAAGGCGTGCACCACCATGCCCGGGTATTATTTATTTTTTTATGTGTATGCATGTATTGCCTGCATGTAGGTAAGTGCACCATGTCGTGCAATGCCCACGGAGGTCAGAAGAGGCTGTTGGATCCCCTGGGACTGGAGTTACGGACAGTTGTTAGCTGCCATGTGGGTGCTGGGATTTGAACCCGGGTCTTCTGCAAGAACAACCAGTGTTCTTAACCGCTGAGCCATCTCTCCATCTCCTTTAAAATTTTTTTTAAAAAATTTATTTTAGGCGGGGCGTGGTGGCGCATGCCTTTAATCCCAGCACTCGGGAGGCAGAGACAGGCAGATCTCTGTGAGTTCAGGCCAGCCTGGTCTACATAGTGAGTTCCAGGACAGCTGGGGCTACAGGGAGACCCTGTCTCAAAAAGACAAAAAAAAAATTTTATTTTATAATTGTTTTGCCTGCATGTATGTACATACACCATAGGTGTACAGTTTCCTCAGAGGCCAGAAGAGGACATCAGAACCCCTAGAACTGCAGTTTACAGACAGTCATGAGCCACATATGTGGATGCTGGCAAGTGTTCACAACCACTGAACCATCTCTCTAGCCCCCACCTCAACCCTACCCCACCTCTTTTTTGAGACAGGGTCTCAATATGTAGCCCTGGCTGGCCTCAAACTCATAAAGATCCAACCTGCCTCTGACTCTTGAGTGCTGGGATCAAAGGCCTGTGCCACTACGTCCATCACTACCCCTTTGTACAAGTGTTTTGATGGCCAGTATGTTTACTGGTATGTGTGTAGTGCCATGAAGGCTGGAAGAGGACAACAGAGCCACCATGTGTGTGCTGGGAGTCAAACCCAAGTCCTCTGGAAGAACAGCAAGTGCTTTTAACTCCTGAGTGGCCTCTTCAGCCCCCTGTCCCCTTTTTAAGGCTGGGGCTATAACAGAAGATGACTTTGAATTCCTGATCCTTCTGCCTCTATCTCCCAAGTGCTGGATCATGCTTTAAAAAAAAATTTTACTGGGTCAGGCATGGTGGTGCAGGCCTTTGATCCCAGCACTTGGGAGGCAGGAACAGGTAAATCTCTGAGTTCAAGGCCAGCCTGGCCTACATAGTGAGTTCCAGGCCAGCTGGGGCTACAGGAAGACCCTGCCTCAAAAAGACCAAAAATAAATAAAAAATTAAAAAAAAATTTGCTGGGCATGGTGGCGCACGCCTTTAATCTCAGCACTCAGGAGGCAGAGGCAGGTGGGTCTCTGTGAGTTCAAGGCCAGCCTGGTCTACATAGTGAGTTCTAGGACAGCTGGGGCTACAGGGAGACCCTGTCTGAAAAAGA